ATTTAGATTAGGTCCACCCCAAACTCAATCCATTATCAATAAACACGTGTTCAATCCAATTACTAATATATCTTATTGGTGCATTCAATCCATTTAATTCAATATATCCTATTGGTGCATTCAATCCAATTAAATTGATTTTGATTCAAAGAGAATCCAATCCAAACCTAGTCCATTAGTAGGGGTGGCAACGAGCCGACTTTTTCACGAGCTGTTCGACCTTGCCTCGTGAAAAGTTTGGCTTGACTTGATTTTAGCCGAATTCGAGTTCGAGCTTGAGCCTAATTCAGTGGCTCGATTATTAAATGAGCTGAGCTCAAGTCTACTAGAACTTGGCTCAAGAGGTTCGCAATCCAGCTCGAATATTATATATATATATATATATATATATATATATATATATTTGATATTTAATATATAATAAAAATATAGAAAATAATATATAACAAAAATATTATAGTTGTTAATTATTATAATTCTTATTTTTTTAAATATAAAACGAGCCGAGCCGAGCTCGAGTTATAAACTTTTGAATCAAGCCAAGCTCAAGGTTCTAGCTCGAATCGAGCTCGAGCAATGTAGAATTGTCCTCGAGCCAAGCTTAAGCCTGGTACTATTCAACTCGGCTCGAATCCATCCCTATCCATTAGCATGGATGCAATGCAAAACACCCATGTGAAATCTATGAATCAAGGTTCAATATATAAATTCAGGCTAGGGCGATACACCGATAGGGCATATCGGGCATGTAATGGTACTATTTTTTATTTTTTTTAAACTAATTAAAAGGGGGCAGTTTAAATCCGGTTTATCCCCTGAATCATTCACCGACCCAAAACACCCCCTATAGGGATATATCAAAAAGACTTTGATATGATATGTATCAATCGATATGGGCCGATATGTGACAAAATTTTGATCCTTTGTTATGAAAAATTTTCAATTCCAACAGCTCACATGATAATCCTTGTAAAACTGGTTGAAAATTCAAATCAATGAATTTTTTTTAAGTTTCCGTTCTTGACCCGATTTTACAACCCTCCTGCCATTTTACGTACATTTTTTGTTCGTAAATTGTTATAAAGGCTTCATTTCGCAAGCACCAACAAACTTTTGTTGACTTTTGAAAAACTATGTTTTGTACAATATTAACATATCCTTAAATCAGGCTGCGTATATTTTAGCATATTTAGCCTGTAAAGGCAAAATATCCACTCGGGATGCAGTGCATTTGGACTCAAAGAAATTTTAATATTTTACACGTCAAGGGTTGCTGAGTTGTATTAAAACTGCAACCGATTAAAAGTCTTTTTTCTTTCAAAAGAAAAAAAAAATAAATAAAAGTAGGAGAAAAAACAGATATACATTTGGCGAGTTTTCTTCTTTCTTTTCCCTCGTTTTTTAAAAACTCACAGCTTTATCTTTCACTATGCGAGATCTCTTCGTTGCATTCAAGCCGCTGCCCAGACTCCCAGCTTTTATCTTTCACCATACAACCAAATCAAAACACAAATTTTGCATTATAATTATTGGAGAAAATGGAAAATTTCAAAATTATGTGTTTTGGAGTCTGATTCATGCTCCTTAAATAATTTGTGAAGATGTACGAGGAAAAGGTATGTACTGGTTTAGAGAAGGCACCTTGAAGTCATAATTTCAAACATTGTGACTATTTAAAAAGTAGTTAACAGTTAGTGACTGTTAACTTTGAATTGTGCCTCTTGATCACATTCGATCAAATCATGACCGTCAGCAACGCACCAAAACCAAAGCCACCCATCACGAGAAGTGCAAGTAAAGTGCACCTCTAAAGTGCCTCATTGCGTCGCACACACGCATATGCGTGTATTACACGGTATCGAATCCCCATACTCTCCTCTACTAATTCTAAGTGGTGTAAATCAGCTCCTATTAAAATACTGAAAACAAAGCTTATAATTTTCCAATGTGAGACAAGTTCAAAACTGAATTTTATAAGAAAAAAATCAGTTTTTTCAATCAAATGTACAAGTGCAATTTCTCATGTAATTGACCAATCAAACTCATTGAATTTAATCTCTTATGAGATTAAAATCCAATAATAATCATCCGACAATACTTTTTTCATCATCGAATGCATTGATTGTATGCAAATATCAAGTTCTTCACTTTTGCTCAAATCTGGATCTGGTGTGCCATTAATTTCTTGTTCTTTCACTTAGGAATCGTCAATTTCCAGAGTAAGCCCATTTGTGGCTTGACCAAAAGAACAGGATATCTGAGAAAGTAGTACTCGCCGGTCTTCATGGAGCCATTTCCGGTGGCGTAGATTGTGACTGGGGAGAAGTGCTTCCATTGCATGCCTGGAAGCTTCTATGGTTCATTTGCAAAACTTAAGAGCAAACTCTAGAAAATCATCTCTTCTTTATCTTATGTTTCAACAAATGAACCAGATGAACGTTTATAAGCCATAAACCATACAAATCATCATTTGTATTTCAGAAAATCTGCCGAAAATCATAGACTTAACAAATATAGTATCTCCCCCGCTAGAAGCTATTTCTACACAGCTGGGGTTCTTCAGAATTCCTTGGTTGGTGGCAACTAGTTTCCTTGTTCAGCGCCTCAGCGGTGATCATAGATAGATAGAGAGAAGGGAAATTCTGAACACTTTTGACATTTTAAATCGGAATTTCGTATCCGTATTTTAACCCAGAATTGAAAAACTTACAATCCGTTAAAAAGGCAGAATTTAAAATCAATATCTCGAAACTTATCTCTGTCTTTTTATGTTTTTTGATGGGTAACTGAGACTTGTGGTTGTGGAGTTAGCCTCCTCAATTCCTTTCTCAAGGAGAAGACAAAACTAAGCCAAACACCAAATTTAAGAAGCTTTTTATGTTGAATAAAAAACTCCAAAGCCCATAAATAATATAAATCATATTTGTTCTAAAATCAAAAGAAAATAAATATATGTATGGTTTCTATGCATCCTATATTTGGATTAATTGCAGGTAGGACAAGTTACAGGAAAAGGCACAACAGCATTGGACAAATCTGGCATGGTAAAAGATAAAAGCTCGGAGTTGGAAAGGTGAGAAGGAAACTCGCCAAATGTGTTTGTTTTTCATCTATTTTTATTTATTTTTTCTTTTGAAAGAAAATAAAAATACTTTTATTTAATTGGAGATTTCACTGTTTTGGTCGATTGTGGGTTTAATACAACCTAGTAATCCTTAACGTGTCAAAATATTACTAAATTGGAAGAGAAAATCCTTTCGAGGCCAAACGCACTGATCTGGTCTGCAAAACATCCATGTACTATAACTTACTCCACCAAGCTCATGTACAGTTTTCTCTTTAACTAGTAATGAATAATGGAAGTTGCTTTTTTGCCAAAAAAAAAGGAAATTTTTCTAATCAGAACCCTGTATTTTGGCTTGAGTGATAGTTTGGTCCCCCAACATTAAAATACAATAATTCAGTAATAGAACTTTCAAAACAATTCAGTCGTTAACTAGTTTATTAATAAGCTGTTAAGTGACATTTAAAAAGTTAAAAATGCTAAATAATTATATTTATCAACCATTCAAATATTAACGATAAAATAAATAATCCTAAATTCTAAATTTTTCTAAATATTCATCAACTTTTTTAAATAGAAAATGTTAAAATTTGAGACTGTTCAGTTTTTTATCAAATAGTTGATGATTGATAAAAAGAATTAAATGACATTTAAAGACATTTTTTACTTTTCAAATGTCATTGACGAAACAATTAAAGACAGCTACTGGATTCTCACATTCTGAACTTTCAAATATTAGATTCTCACATTTTGAAATTTCTAATACTAGATTATCCATTTTAAAGTTTTTTTGGGACCGAACTGTCACTCGAGCCGAAATGAATAATGTTCCCAAAAAGGAAAATTAAAGGAAAGCGTTCGTCAGGAAACCGGTTGCCAGAAAATCCACTCCCCTGTCAAATCTCAATAAATTACCGGAAAGATTCCGAGTTGAGTGTTCGTCAAGCCAAGCGGAGAAGGCTTATTCGTTATTACTGTTCCCGAGTTAAGTACGGAATCTTTTCGGGGGCATCACATGGATGCCAAACTTGTGGGAGGTACACGACGACAGCTCAAGAAATCTACAAAAGTTAAATATAAGATCGATTGCTCGATTGAGGTTGGATATTATTTCTGTCCTTTTCAATCATATCTTATGAATGTCCTCATTCGCTTTACCAAAAATAAAATAAAATAAATGTCCATTCTTACAAAATGACGAAAACATCCTTATATCGTACCAACTCTACTGCTGTGCTGCCTTAATGTGCCCCAGTCGAACCCATATTTACAATACAGTGGGAGCCACCATAGCATCTAAATCATGCCCAAATGCAAAAGATCCGACGATTCAAATAACCCAATTCAGGAGATGGATGGAAATGAGTGGTCAGTCACTAGTCAGGAGAAAAAGAGTGAGGGGCGTTTTAGTCAAATGAAAAAGGGGAAGGGAGATCACAATCGCATCCCAAAGTCAGGGTTCAAAAACCAAAAAATCACGCCGCCTCCGCAGTTCACAGACTGTGGGCGAGAGAGATGCAAGAAAGTCAAAACTTCACAACTAGCTTGGGGGGTCCCTTATCTCCAACATTTATTACTATACCTCTTCAGAAGAGCTGTTGAGTGTTGACCCTCTTCAGAAATCTTTAGATTAGAATCTTTAATCCCTGGGATTTCTACAGTAGGCCTACGCTCCATCGTAGGCAATGTAGTGGACTCTGTGTACCTGCCAAGATTCGATCTCTGAAACCTAAGGGTTCTGCAATGCAGATTCTGTAGAACGCTACACAGAAGTCATTGTCTACAGTACTGTGCCATTAATTCCCGATAAAAAGATTCAAATCCAATGGTCTTACTAGAGAATCTATACCTCTGGTTGTAGATAGATTCTAGGACTACTGAATAACCTCCCCAGTCCCTCCCATGCCCCATCTTTTCGTACTGAATTAGAGAATTGACGCAAACATTTGTAGTTTATGGGCTGTATGCAATTAAACTGACATTAGACTCCGAAGTCCGAACCAAACCAACCCCCACCCTGAATTTCAACTTCTTCTTCTTCCCCTTCCGAAGCCAAAAGGATCATTGAGACTCCGCAGCGGCTTGGTTTCAACTCTCCACAGCTCTCTTCTCACCCTCAAAAGGCCACAAGTTCAAATAAAGAATTCAAATCTCGGACGCAGAAAAGAAAACGTCGACGGAATCTTAATCTCTCCAACCATCAAAAGGCAGAGAATACTTTTTAAATATTCAGTAAGCTCCTAAATAATGGTTGCTTCGTCTTCTGTCATTAAAAATGATATAGAAATTAGAATCAGCGGGGACTTTTCATGAAGAATTTGTGCAATATATATTGAATGACTGAGAGCTGTTGATTCCATCTCCTCTTCTGCACAAGGAGGAAGAAACCGTACATTCATTGCTAGAGTAGAAGTAGAGAGAGAGAGAGAGGAGATAGCTTAAACACAAATTCAAGAGCTTACTATCTTTTGTTCGTCTCCCAATAACTCAATTCTTATATTATATTTCTCTTTGTAAGCCAATTCCATTCATTCGATCCGTCCAAACATGGGCGAATCGAGTCTGCAAATGGACTCTGAGCGTCTGAAATTTGCTCTTCCAGTCGATTCCGAGCTCAAGGCAACTGAATTGAGAATATTCTCTGTGGCGAAACCCCACATGCGAACCTTCCATCTCTCTTGGATAGGTTTCTTTGCTTGCTTTGTGTCCACTTTCGCAGCCCCTCCGCTCCTCCCTGTCATACGAGACAACCTCAACCTCACCGCAACTGACATTGGCAATGCAGGGATTGCATCGGTCTCTGGTGCGGTCTTTGCCCGACTGGCCATGGGGACTGCATGTGATCTCTTTGGTCCACGTCTGGCCTCTGCTTCACTCATCTTCCTTACTGCCCCTGCGGTTTACTTAAGTTCCATTGCTTCCTCTGCGACCTCATTCCTTCTGGTTCGTTTCTTCACAGGCTTCTCCCTCGCCACTTTTGTCTCAACCCAGTTTTGGATGAGTTCCATGTTCTCCGCTCGGGTTGTTGGTTCCGCCAACGGTGTTGCCGCCGGCTGGGGAAACCTTGGTGGTGGGGCCACCCAGCTGATTATGCCCCTTGTATACGACCTCATCCGAGATATCGGTGCCACCCAGTTCACCGCCTGGCGCATTGCATTCTTCATTCCTGCCCTGTTTCAAACTCTATCAGCTTTCGCCATCTTGATATTTGGCCAAGATCTGCCGGCTGGAAACTTCAGGCGGCTACAGAAATCCGGGGAGAAGCCAAAAGATAAGCTCTCAAAGGTTTTCTATCATGGTCTCACTAATTACAGAGGTTGGATCCTGGCCTTGACTTATGGCTATTGTTTTGGGGTGGAGCTGACAGTGGACAACATAATTGCGGAATACTTCTACGACAGGTTCAATCTGAAACTGCATACTGCCGGAATTATTGCAGCAACCTTTGGGTTAGCAAATCTGTTCTCTCGACCGGCAGGAGGAGTTCTCTCCGACATACTGGCAAGGAGATTTGGGATGAGGGGAAGGCTTTGGGGCTTGTGGGTGGTGCAGACATTGGGCGGAGTATTATGTGTCATATTGGGGCGAGTGGGGTCTCTGGGTGCATCCATCACTGTGATGATTGCGTTCTCATTTTTCGTTCAAGCCGCGTGTGGACTGACATTTGGAATAGTTCCATTCGTCTCCAGAAGGTAAGTGATCTGATGCTGCTTATATTCCTATTTCTGGTTCTTCATGTTACAGAAACTTCAGAACCTGGTTTTGGTAAATATATAGATATTCAGAACACCCATCTCTTCTGGTTCAGAAAATACCTTACTAAGTTATAGTGCTTGGATTAGCCTCTCTACACAAACAAGTACTGACAAGGAATTGTCATATCTAACACAAAGATTCCTAGAGTTCATCAAGAGATTATATGGTAAAACACATGCTGATAAACCATATCTAAGATACCAAAGAACAATGTCAACTGAATGAATAATAGAAATTGTTATTAGATACCAACAGATTATCGTCAATAAAAGGAGGTAGTAAGAAGAAATTATAAGAATAAATTTGATACTAGTAGAGGAAGTATATACTGTAGTAAGAGACTCCAAAATGCCACCATACTTCCTCTAATCAGATATATCCATTCAATTCTGTGAGTCATCAGTTTGATCCAGTTGATTGGCACTTCATGGCCTCGTGAAATTGTCCAGTGGCGGGGTAACCCCAAGCATCTGATAGCCAGAAGGTGAGAAAAAATCACTAGAATCATCACATCGGTGTCACATGGGGCTAAAGCAAGTTCAAATTTAGCCTCTGAACTACTGAAATGCCCAAGAAGGTGGAAAACCTCTCCCTGTACCCCTGGCTCTTTGGAAAATCTCAAAAGGTAGAAACATCTATGCAACTTATTTCTTGTGTTCTGACATATTCCTAGCCCCCCCCGCCCCCCCCCGCCCGAGTTGTGAAATGCGTTTTTTTCTCTTTTTGGTTGGGGGAAGGGAGATGCTACTTAAGGGCTTTCCCTCTCTCTCTCCATTTAATTACACCACTTCTTTTGAAGCTGTATCCCTTTATCCCTATTTAAAGTCCATAGGGAGTTCTTTTTTCCCCCCTTCCATTTAAGTTTTCCTCTTTCATTTGGAATAGTAGAATTGTTTCATCTTCCTCTATTATTTCTCTATGTCTAAATTATAGTTCTTTCTTCCTTGGTGTTTTACTTTCACCTTCCAGGTCATTGGGATTAATATCAGGAATGACAGGAGGTGGTGGAAATGTTGGTGCAGTTTTGACCCAATTAATTTTCTTCAGAGGATCCAGATATTCAAAGGAAACAGGATTATTTCTCATGGGTATTATGATTATATGCTGCACTATCCCTATATGTTTGATCTACTTCCCACAGTGGGGAGGGATGTTTTTTGGTCCAACAACCAAAGAGAAGATCACAGAAGAAGATTATTACTTATCTGAATGGAGTTCCACAGAGAAAGAACAAGGTTACCATTTAGCAAGCTTGAAATTTGCAGATAACAGTAGAAGTGAAAGAGGTGGAAAAGTAGACTCCGTACCCACACCCTCTGATGGAACTCCACCAATACATGTTTGAATATACCAGAGTATGTGAAGCCATGCCAAAATCCTCCATAAGGCTTTGCAAGGAAATTGTTTCCAGAAGGTGTATGCAAGTCAAATTTTCACTGTTTGCACTTTAGATTTCAGAATAGGACATAGATTGCAAGTATTGTAAGTCGCGCAGAAATCTCGTTGTGGTGAACTAGTATTATGAAAATGTAGCTCAGTCTATTGTTTATATGAGCTTTTATTAGTTTTTTATTTTGCAATCCTCATTGTTTTTTGAGTTTCTCAGTTTGTAAAACGAAAATACAATTATATGGCTTTCCAGAAGAATGTCAAAAAGTAGCAAGAGTTGTAGCAAATTGATGAAGAAAGCAAGTAAGTGCAAAGGGGTTTGGCTTTTTTTTGTTGTTGTTGTTGTTGTTGTAGTTTTCTATGTACCTGTCTTTATTTTCTACATCTATCCATTTATTTATTTATTTTATTCTTCTCTCACCACACATTTGGTATCACAACAAGCGATGTTTTCGAATAAAAAAAAAGATATTTGTGGGTATTTCATAGGAAACTTCAGAAAATGCATTTTTTTTAATATGAAAAACACTACAGATGACGAAATCTTGCAAATTTTCTGGTCAGTATTATATTCTATTTTGTTTTGCAATTAAGCATAGATGGATACCAACTAAACAACTTTGACTCCATTAACCACCACTTATCTAATGATTTTTCAGATTACACCCCTTATCACATGTCTTGGATTAACCTAATCCATCAATACAAATAGTTCATGCTGAAAATTCAGTTATTTGTGTCTTGGTCTCTTGGAGGATTGGCAGTACAAACTGTTCGATTTTACCCATCAGTGTCATCATGGGGGTCTCTAAACCCATTATATGAAATATCAGAGAGATCCAAAGAAGTAAATTAGGACATGTTTGTTTTCTCTTAATTCTTATCTCTTAAGAGGAATCTTACAGCTTTAATAGGAAATTGAGTGTTCGTTTCCTCTTATCTCTTATCTCTTAAAAAAGAATCTTACAACTTTTTGTTTTCCAATGACACCCCCAAAACACAAACAAAAATTCTCATATATGGGGTTAAAATAGATATTTGACAATTTTCAGAATTTAGAATTCAGAATAACATTCTCTGCATTCAGAGTTCAGAGGAAAGAAAAGTTCACCAATACCAATATACCTCTTAATGTAATTGTTGCACTTTTAGACATCAGATGTTAGAGCAAACTAACAGGCCCTTAGTGTTAAAGAATCGTTGTCATCTCCTCTCTGATCCAACCAATAACCTTTTGAGAATCTCCCTTCACCTCAATTTATGAAAACTTATCAAGTATATCACCTTGAACTTTAATAATTGAGCCAATCTCCACACTGATAAAGACACTATAGCCAGTATGATCACAGAACTTCAGATCTTATTTGCTAGAGTTAGTTTTACTGTTTTAATTTATCTAGTTTAGTTACTGTAATTCCTTTGATAAGTATCTTCTCTAAGTACTGTATAGAGATAGTACATTTATTTGCTTTGATATGCAAAGGCTGTATTTAGGGAACCCCATCACAATTAGTTAATTACGATAGCTGAAAACCTATGAGTTATACAAGTTAGAAGGTGCTGATATTGCCTGCACACTGTGATATTATGATCTGGTTATAAGCCTCATTAGATATTTTAAAAAGAGTGAAAGCTTCCTGCTTTAACGTGATTCCTAATTTTGGTCCCAAAGGTCTGTTCATTTGATCCAAAGGACTTGCACACTTAACCACTACTAGGTTTCCTCAGTTTTCATCTCCTCAAAATATCTGTTCGGGAGTGCCAGGTAAATTCAAAAGGTTGCAGATGACTACATAGGCTTGTATATAATAGCACAGATACTAAAAGCAATCAAGAGCTCTTTTATATGGGGAGCATCAAATTTTGTTTATGAGCATCTTAATAGAAACATTGAAATTGTAATCCTTGGATTCCTTTAAGTTCTTGTCACAGAAAATGATGGGAGACATTCGTGTATCATGTTATTATACATCTGTACCATAATTCGTTCTTTCATATTCTTTTATTTGTATATTTTGCTTATGCCTGAGAAGAGTATTCATATAGTTGTACATATCTTTTGCCCATAAAATAAAGAGATGGTTTGGTTGTCACTACTTCTGAGTTCTGACACTATCTATGCATCAAATTGACAACGTGTACTCATTGGAACCAGGTATACCGTTTTGCCTTCATTGTCAATGGTTTCAAACTTCCCAAGTATACTAATTGAAACCCAGGTCTACCGTTTTGCCTACATTGCCAATGGTTTGCAAACTTCAAAAGTCCATATACAGTTTAAAAAAGCTTCAAAGGCGTGGTTGGAACATTTCAATTGAAAGCCATTACTGGTGCTGGACATGTTCAGAACTTCTCTATTTGTAGTTTAATACATCACCACAAACATTTGGAAATTATCCTTTCCCTGTCCTCCCAAAGACCCCATTATAACGGCATAACTTAGCCCTTTACATAGCTAAGACTTCTAAGTTGCAGATGTATTTGCAGAAGAATTAACTCACACTTGATAATTCCCTAGTTGACAAATTGATGTTATCACCTCATCAGTTTTAACAGAAAGTATAAAACAATAAATAACTGGTATATATTAATTTATCACCTATTATGTACTATATCTATCTATCTATAAAAGTACGAACATATGTGGTTGGGTTTTGGAATTTCCACTAGACTAAAATACCCCATCTCTAAGGTTTGAATCAGTGAAGAGCAATTGTAAATATGTAATTTTGTTTTCTCCTTTAGTGCTTAACAGGAAATGACTCATCTTTCTCATTTAGTGCTTATTATAAAAAATACACGAAACTCCATTCCTTTTGTTCATAAGTGTAAAACAAGTCAAAGGCAAAAATGTTATTTAACATTACCATTTAATGCTTGTTAAGGAAAATACACACATATCCTTCTTTTTGTTCAATAATTGGAAAGCAAACCATGGTAATTGCTGAAATCTCCCTTGAAGTTATTGACCATTGCCCAAACCTCCCCTAAAGTTTGGTAATTATAATCACATCCCCTAAACTTCTTAACACATTTTCAAGTAGACCCCCTTTATAAAGTCTTTTAAAAAGAGGCATGAAAATGTCCAAAATACCCATGTAATTATTATTGAGGTTGGTTTATACACAAAAAACAATATAAACGTTATTAATAACAAAAAAAGAGAGTTTAAAATTGCAATTTTACCTTTAAGCAATTGATATGGAGAGCAACTTTGAAAAATACATCAATCCCGAAAAAAGAGATTAGAAGGGATTGGGGTAGTGACTGATATGAAGAAAAAATCTGGAAAATAAATATTTTGGTCAAAAATAACTATATGGGTAATTTGGACATTTTTATGCTTTTTGTTAGAATATTCTAACTGATGGTCTACTTGTAATTATGTCAAAAAGTTCATGGGAGGTGATTGCATTTACCAAACTTTAGGGGGCTTCATCAATGATCACAAATTTTACAGGAGGTTTTAGCAATTTACCCTTTCATTTATTTAAATTAAAAAAAAAAAACGAAAGTGCATCTTATGTTCTCAATAGCCAATGTTGGGCCACATTAACCACCATTAAAAGATTTCCAACTTGCAAATGGATGATCAATTTATTCTTTAAACTATTTTCTTGTTTTTTTTTAATATTTTTAACCTATTTTCATTAGTTAAGTTCTTGACCATTAAGGTATCAAATGGTTTTCTCTTCTTTATTCCCACCATATAGTGGGTTGATTTTTCACTTCCTTTACCTTAAAGTCCACATCATTAGATGGCAAGATATCTGTAAGAATAAGTGATATTTTTTATAACAGATCATTGTAAGGTTTTCAGCAGTTGAACTTGGATTTATCATATAGAAGTTAATTCTTGCAAAGGTAACAAGAATTCAAATAAAATCCTGACGAAGATAAACGATAGAAACTATTAATTTTATTAATGAACCATAATAAACAAGAATAATAAGAATTTTATTAACGATAAATAAGAATAATAAGAATTTTATTTGGACATATCTTTAAATTAATGAACCATAATAAATGTGATAAATAAGAATAATTTTTATAGATGTAAAAATATAAAAATTTGCAAAAAAATAAAAATATATTATATACTATCATCATCATAGTATTTGTCACATGCAAAATACGTACATAAAAACTAGTATATATATAACAGAAACCTAGGTCTACTTTTCTGCTAAGATTGTCAATGAAGCACTGATATTCCAAAAGTCCAAGGAGCCTAGTAGAATAGTAAACGTGCTTACTTAAGTTTGAAAAGTTTAAAATCTTGATATGAGTCTTGTGCTCTCTTTCTCTCTCTCTCTCTCTATCTATCTATATATATATATTTATATTTATATTTATATTTATATTTATATAACAGAAACCTAGGCCTACTTTTCTGCTAAGATTGTCAATGAAGCATTGATATTCCAAAAGTTCAAGAAGCCTACTAGAATAGTAAACGTGCTTACTTAAGTTTGAAAAGTTTAAAATTTTGATATGAGTCTTGTGCTTTCTGCAACCCAATCTCCACTTCAAAGACCAAGACTATTACAGGGGAACATTGATTTGGTGGTTCAACTATGAATTTATCCATTTGGTTTGCAGTCGGAATTGGAATTGAAATCCTTCGGAATCGGAATGGCCTATTCCCATAGTCTGTTTGGTTCAAATAGGAATGGGAGTGAGAATTGGAATCAGTATGAATGAAATTTCATTCCCAATGGAGGGGTAGGGAATGACCATTCTCTCAAATAGGGGAATGCCATTCCAGCAAGAATGAGAATGGGGTTCCAATTCTGCCCAACCAAACAGCTAGAATCTGAATAGTCCATTCCAATTCTAGACCCCTATTCCTGCAAACCAAACGGGGGCCTAAGTCTTCCAAAGACATGTATTAGTGAGCTTATTAACGTTATCAAGTGCATCATCCTACAACTATAAGTAGGGCTGCAAGTCGGGCCGGGTTAAGTCGGGTTGAGGCCAACCCTATGTTCTAAACCCCCAACCCTAACCCAACCCAACCTACTCAACCCTAACTAATTCCTTCAATCCTAACCCAACCCGATGTCAACTTTGGGTTAGGTTGGGCCCAACCCAACCTTCCCATCCCTTAAAATCTAGTAGAAAAATAAGTATTTATTTATCATGAGTTATGACCTATGACAGAATTTTTCTCAAAAATATAAATTCATGAAATTAACAATAATGAAACATAAAATTATGGAAATAAAATCACTAATAACAATTCATAGGATGAAGCAAATAATTTGAATCTATTTGATAGGTCACACATAAAAATTACAAGATAAAAGAAAAAGACAAGTAGTCAAGTACATGTGAATAACTTAAATAAAGAAAGGCATGATAGTATGTAGGGGGGGCTAACTATCATACATCAAAACAAATCAGTGTATATTATATTATATATATATATATGACATGTAGTAGAGTTATAGACTAGTAGTCTAGTACTATAGGGGGTCGGGTTTAAGAATTTCAACCCTAACCCTTACCTGATCATCAACCCAGCCCAACCCAATCCAACTTTTTCGGGTTGGGTTCGGGCCAACCCAGCCCAAGTTGCAGCCCTAACTATAAGTGAAGCCGTTTGTTAATAATAGACAATAGTAGCTTGCTGATGTAAGAGTATAATGCTTTTTTCTATCTCATACATACTTGAGACAACATGTGTTTAACATTACCCATTATGAATTCAACTTGCTCGAAAATGATGAATGACCTTCCGCCACTGTAATTTTGCAATTGCATGCAAACCTTAAATTGTAGATAGTCAAGTAGGCTGATATATGCGGTAGGAAATGCAGGAGAGTAATAATTTTACCTTGTCATAATGGACAGGATTTTTCAATTTGTAGTTTGGACAGGTTAATATGTTGTTATGGGCAACGACTTTCTTCAAGATTCATTCATACCAAAATCCTTGGTGGTATTTGTTTATTGTTAGGAGGCTTTTTAGCAGATAGACATCGAAAATAGAAACAATTGGATTATTAATAGAGATCGTCTGCATTCATAGTATCTGGGCCACTGTTTTCAAAACCGGATTGGATCGGATGATCGGACCGGAAAAACTGGAAACTGGTCATTTGATCGGTTTCGTTTTCCTTTAAAACCGTTTTTTCCTTCAAAACCGTTGTTTTTGGTCAATAAACCGCTGAATCGGCCGATTAACTGTTTGAATGGTTTTGACCGTTTTTTACTTTTTTTATTTTTTTTCAAAAGACCGGCCATTCAGATCAAATGGTCGGACCGTTTGAACCGGTAACCAGACCCCTGACTGGTTCGATCACCAATTCGTTTTTTAAAATCATGATCTGGGCTACATATGCAAAGATTGATAGAATTAAACTAAGCAAGATTTATTGAGTGCTATCATATACAGGCACATACATCGGACAAAAAAAAATCATACAAATTTCGGTACGTAAAAAATTAAAGCAAAGTGATAGAAATCTATTAGTAAGGATAAACGACTTAAACATAACCTGGATTTTCATAAATTAACTTAAACATATCTTGAGTTTTTATTATGGACTTCACATATGACTCTTTTACCTTTCATTTACTTTCAATTTTTCAAAAAGAAATAACACCTCCACTCTTTATCAATTCCATGCTAACCTTAGGGTAATATTGCAAAACTTCCCCAAGCTCTTCGAATTTAAATTCCTCCCACATGGTATTTATTCTATATTCTTTTCTCCAACAAACTTCCCCATTTATATTATTTTCTCGATGTCAAACATGCCTGTCAATATTTTAGCCTCAGCTAGGCTGAAAAGTCAAAAAGCTTTGTTCTGGTCTCTATTGGATTGTATTCAAAATGCTTTAAAAAGTGATCTTACTAAGGCTATTAATCATTATAATCTTCAGTAAGGTAAGGGGGTGTTATTTTTTTTTTTGGATTTTGAGAGGGGGAAAGTTGTTCAATGGGATTTTGATTCTCATTGACCAATAAACCTATATTCTTTTTTCATATTTATGTGGGGACCAAGGAAGGTTTATTTTCCTTGGTATCACTTGCCTGAGTGGATAAATAACTTTCCCACCCGGGAAGAAAGTTGACAACACTTGAATGGGACAAAAATGCCCCTTTTAATAATGGATTTTTATGGTTAAAATGGTTATTGCCTTATTTACATGGGAAATAAGAGAACATGGGTAAATGCACTTACCCGGGTTAATCTTTCCTATGAAACACTTACCCAGGTAAGTAACTTAACGAAAAGTGAATGGGGCCTAAATTTTATCATAAGTTTTTGCTTTAGGTTTTTCTCTTTTTCTTTCTTTTTGATCTCATTATTTTTTTTCTTTTCTTCATTTTGTAACTTTGGCTCCTATTGGTTGAATGAATTATTTTTTAGTGACTTTCTTCTTGAGAGACCCTTTTTTTGTGCAGTGCCTGTCATCTTCAAAGTTATGCACATTGTATCTCCTTTCTTTCTAGGTAGGGACAATGAAAGGAGATCCCCTTCTCTCCATGCTGAGTGGATGACCAAAGCTCTCATCTGTTAAAGGGAAAAATAGGATTTATAAAAAATTAAATGAGTTCACATGTGATGAGAGGGTATGTTTAAGTCCAATGAGTTAATTCACAAGGCATATTTAAATCTAATCGAAAAAATGTAGGGTATGTTTAAGTCAATTTATAAAAACCTGTTTTAAGTCTTTTACCCTATAGAGGTTTTTGTAGACGTGGAGGAGGTTTAAATAGTTTACCCATTAGTCTAAGTTAATTATTTTAATTTCTATTAAATATTATTTTCTTAATAATTTCTATTAATTTTTAATGGTAACAATTTTTGTTAATAATTAATAATGATTATTAAATATCATTAGCAGTAGTTATCAAAATTATGACTGGCAATTGGGTGGGGCACCCCCATCTCATCCTTGCCCCATAGCTAAAATACCCTATTCCTACACCATTCTTGGTGGTAGGGAGGGTTTGGGGCAAAGCACCCATTCTATATCGGGGACAAGGAAACGATCTAGGGAAAATAATTGATAAATTTTCCCTGCCCTTAGGCAACCACCTAAAAAAACATATAATCTGGGTGTATTTTAGAAATAGGATTATGTGAATTTGGGAGCATTTTAGGATTTGGATATGGAAAATTGGGAGTATTTTAGAAATAGAATTATGGGATCCTAGGGTTTTAAGAATTTGGGAGAGACTCAAATGTGTTTTAGAAATCTAATATTAAATGTAGGGGTATTTTACTAATTTACCATTGAGTTTAGGGTATGGAAGACAATTTTCCCTATCCCTATCTGGTATTCGACTTCTCTGACTTTATGGGGTCAATAATGGAGATTGCCTTGGTGAGGACAAGGATTAATAGTGGTACTCAATTGGGGACGAGGACAAAGATGGGGAGTGAATTCCTCACCTCACCCGACCTCTATATATATAATATTATTATTTATATTAATGTATCAAAAATATATTTAAAATGTTACTTATTTTTAAGTAAATATATTTTCTAAAATAATTTAATTTAAAAATCTATAAGATTTGGATCCCTAACAAGGAACTAGTCTCCATTGATGATCAAGGATTGAGGGTCATTTTTATCCATGATAGAGATTGGGGTGGTCAGGGATAAAGGCATATAGTTCCTACCTTGTTGCTGTTCATAATTTGGGGTAGGTTCAAGGAATTTTATACACAGCCCCCATCCCTTCCCCGTCTCCAAATTGGAGAAAAAAATAATAGTTTCCCCATCCTTGCCCCATCCCCATTTAAGATTGAGGAAAACCCATCCTATTCGGAGTGGGGCCCTAGTTTTATGGGGAAATAATTAATAAATATGGGGTCTTTTTCTTTTAATTCTTGAACAATGAATATGGGGATTTCTTCTTTAGTAAATACCTTACTTTTACTTAAGTGTAACTAAAGTTATCTAAATATACTTAATTAATATTTAAATCAACTAAGTTGAGGCAATCAAAATTACAACTAACTTAATTAAATTACTATTATTGAGAATAAATTACATTAAATTTAAATTCATATATATGTAATCAAATATAATTAAGTTTTTCATGATGTAATCAAGTTAATACTACCAAAATTTAGGTTAGTAACTTAAAAATCATTATTATTTAAATCAAATTTAATCAAATTAATAGTATCTAAATTGATATTTTACCTTATATTCCATTTTAATTATACTTTAATGGATGATAGGGTAGGTTGAGATGGTGGTGATGAAGGGAAAAAGGATGAAGAAGGGTGAGGAAGGAAATACAAAGAGCATGCAAGATATGAGCATTGGGATGTGGGAATTTTAGGATGTGATTAGGTAATTGGGAAGTGGGTGAGAATTTTAGGAAATTGGGGATTGGCAGATTGAGAAATTTTAGGTAATTGGAAAATGGGTGGGAATTTTAAGAAAGTGAAGATTTAGAGATTTAGAGAGATGTTAGGAATAATTTTAACCTTGTTGATGTGACAACTTGAGAGAATTGGCAACAATGTAAGGCATAGAGGCTAGAAACTAAGGAACAAAGGAGAAAAAGGAGTTGCCATCTAATGTGGTCATATTTATTTTAATATATAGGTAGGGGTGCAAAGATCTGATCTGAGATCCGATAATATTTGGATCGAATACGGATAACCCCTTATATGATATGAGAAGATCCATTCCTATTTATATATTTATAAATATAAATGTATATAATACATATATATGTTATTTATTTATTTATAAATATATTATTTATATTGTATTTTTATAAATTTGTTATATTATTTATTTTTTTACAAAAAACATGTATATATATATGAAGAAAATAATTAAAAAATAATTGCAGTTTTTGTTTTTATTTATTTAATTTGATATATTTTAATTTTTTTAATAATTTATTAAATTTAAAAAAAAGTAAGTCGGATTAGATCAGATCCGATCAGATCTAACATACAGTGTCGGGTCAGATTCAAAAATACCTTGATTCGAATCCAATTCGACCTGTTTGCATATCTAACATTTGATGTAAATTTATTATAATGATTATAGTAATTACTAAACCAATTTAAATAGCTTATCGTTATAGTGCCCTTATTAAGGTTTAAATTGGACTGATATATACTTCACCTGGTCTAAATGTCCAGTAACTCTTGTTTCAAATTTGCTAAATAAATACCATGCATCACATGTGAGTCCGGATCTGCTCTCACAAAATGCATGTACTGGCCATACATCGAAAGCATCTCCCTCCCTTCTATTGATTATTTAAGGGAGATGTAGTCAATACAGGGTGTGACGTGACTTTGAAATCGGTGTGAGGCATATTCTGTGAGGAACAGATCTGGCTCCATCGCATGGACATCGATTAGTATAATCATGATTTTAGAAGGCGTCTGACGCGAGGCGGCCAAAAAACGCCTGGCCTCTTAGCCTCAAAAAAACCTGGGTGGTGTTCTAATGGGGGTAAACATGTAAAAAGATGAAAAGCATCGGGTAACAGGACTTAGGGTGGGAGACGAACATATTGGGATTTGGGGTTTCCCCCCTTTTCTTCTTCCTGGTTCGAACTGAATCGTGCTCTCCTCAGCGGCTCAACCTTCATTGAAACGAGGATCAAGGTGAGTTTTTCCTTTTTCTTTCTTTCTTTCTTTCTCTTCTTCTTCTTCCGTTCTGGCGCAACTGCGCAAGGGTTTCTCCCTTATTCCATTCGTCTCCTTCTTCTTCTTCTTCTTCTAATTTTTTATCTTTGTAATTTTCCTGCGATTATTTCTTGTCTACAGCATAGGTAACTCCAAGGTTTGAGATTTTATTTGAAATAGAAACTGAAAACAGAGTTTTGCTTCGAGTTTCCCATCGTTCCATCTTCAATATTCAATGTAACTTTTTGTTTTTCTAATTTTTTAATTTTCTTATAACACAAAACAGAGTTTGGTTTGAACTTTGAAGTCTGTAACTGACTAACAATCGACTAACCAAGTGATCAACGGCCAAGGTAAGTTCTTATTCTTCTTTCTTAATTCATAACTTTCTATCGTTAATCTGTTGCGGTTAATTGGTTAGTGTTACATAACTATAAAAATTTTAATTTTTTTTATTGATAATTGTTATTAAAAGTTTAAAAATTAAAACTGTTGTTATGGTCATTCTGAATGCCTTTTTTATTGCCACATGAAGAAGAAAATGAATGGAGTCCGAAACTATGGTTTTAGTGATAAGGGACTTGCTCCAAAAGAAATGGATGTAATTTGAATGATCATTGGAAATTTAGAATTTAGAAAACAGGATTTTAAATTTTGATTTCAAAGTTCAAACCAGGTTTTGATCTTTAATTAGGCTTGAAGCCTTGAAACTAGAATTTTAATTGAAACATTGGTAATTTTTTTATTCACTTGGGAATTAGAGAACTTGCTTATGCTAATAGGAACAAATTCTGGTTAAATTTTCATAACTGGATGAACATGTTTGTTATACCTTGCTTGCTAGTTGGTACTTTTAATGAGCTTACCTACTAATTTAAAAATTTAAATGTTTTGCCTAGTTTTATAGGTAGGAAGTCTATTTATTACAAGAAATACATTTCAAAAAAAAATTATTGTAAATTTGTATAGTAATTTGCAATTTTGAACTTCACGGATTCATGTTTTGTAAATCGCTATTGGATTGCATCAGGTGTGTTCTTCATCCCGTCTTCTTTTTCTTTTTTTTTTCACCTTTTTCTTGTATATTTTAGAATTTGTATTGTGGTATCAAATTCTATATGGTAATTGGTAGTTACTAGTTATTTTGATTATAGTATTGATTTTTTAGTGCTTAGATTTCATAAGAGTAATCTTGAAAAATTTAAACACACATTTAATAGTTATTGGACCATTATACATTAAATAAGTCACACATAATTACATAAAATTTCAATTATTTATTTATTTTTATGCTTTTTATTAATTATGAACTATGCCCATAATTTTTAATTTTTTAGTTTGAGGCTTATGCCTCGCCTCTTTGGCACCCAACCACCCCGCCTCCGCCTTTAGCCTTTTAAAACCTTGAGTGCAATGTATAAAAAATAGAAAATAGAAAAAAGAATTAAAACTTGAAAGCAACAAAAAATTATGGCCCCGCTTGGCTAGTAGATCTTTTAAGTTTTTTAAAGATAGAAAGACGAAAAATTGATCTTTTCTGTTTGATTGCTACTAGCCCGGTAGCCTAGAAGACAGATTCGCACCCTACAAAGGGTGCTCCATGGAATCTCCAACCCGTGTATTATGAATCTCCCCATGTATGGGAGGTGTTCCCAATGCACTCTGAGATGTGAATGTGGGGCGCCAATGATCTCAATTTTTGCAGCTTCCAAGCTTTTTGACTGCTGTGGGCTTTTGAAAAATAACCCATCAACTACCCCATGTTTGAAACCATTGCAAAAAAATCCTTTCCATTCCTTCATCGCAGAGAACTGGAGAGAGTTCCCATCCTCTAATATACTCCCCTCTTCTTCTACTCTCAAATGCTGGATAACAGTACTTCTCTACGCAGGTCACTAAAGAGAGGAATAGCAAGCACCAAGAAATTTACTTGAGATTTTCTAGCAGAGAGAGAGGGAGGGAGTTTTTTTTTTTTTTAATTTAGTTTCAGATTGCAGTTGTATGGTTAATTGTCTGGAAATTGGGGTTTTTCTTTAATTTTCCTCTAACTAGGAAATTGTTCCACGTTGCTACATGGGCTCTTGGGTGCTCTGTGGGGTTGCATTGGCAAAACAACAGATAGATAGGAGAGGAGAGAATATTGTTTTACTTTCAAAGATGCTGAGGATGAATCATGTATGTCAAACTGATGGACATTATGGGGTTTGTTACATGCTGTTTCTGCAGGTAGTCATGCCTCTAGTCCTTACAAAAGTTCTTTGAATACGGGGACTTCCATTTTGTTGTTGAAAATGCATCTCAAAATGTACCTATGAGCTCCTCACTGGCCATAGATTACATTAGTGACTCTTTTTCCCATTTCAGACTGGCCATAGAATTCTTATGTTTTAGAACTCTATCTTAAGTGCATAACAGAAGACAACTGTTACGAAATACCCCACCTTCAGGAGGCGTCCATGATTCATAATCTGGGCTACTGTTAAGAGAGATAGGTCTCTCAGGACCTAGCACTCTTCTAGGTCCTGCATTATCCTTTCTACTCCACCTCTTCACCTTAGTGACAGATTACAGCTTGGATGAATGCCACCGAAATAGCTCCTAAATAGCACTCTTCTAGCATACCAATTGTAGTGGCAGATTGACATGTTTAAAGAACACTACAATTGTGTTTGTAATACAAAGAAACAAACCCGAAATGTTGCTGCATATCATCTGATTATGAGGTCAAGGAATAAGCTCAAAAACATTAAGATTCAGTGCGTGCATATCATCTGAAGCAAGACATAAGATTGTCAACTTAGATGATAGTTTTAAGTTAATAAATCAATTGATTAACTCACTGAATTTGTATTTGTATCAATTAGTACTATAAGATGAAGTGAACTAGTATCAAAACCTTGTATATGGTGTCTGAGAGCATAAAAATTGCTGGTTGCCTTCGTCACATCATGTGCAGAACTGTATCTCCTGATCATATTTGTATTTATCATTTCTGTTAAGAGCAAAATGCTAAAAACTACTGATAACAGTCTTGCTTACATTTGAATTTCTTTGTAAATTCCTCAAGTCTTGCTTACATCGCCCAGTTAACTATAAAATTACTGATAACAGTCTTCATGTATTTTTGAAGCCAAACACTTAATTACGTCTTTCCTTTACTATAGCAATCTCAGGACAGGACATACCCAAGTCAGAAACACTTCGATTTACAGCCAGTGTCAAGTCAATAAAGCAGTCATTTGGTTCAGTCCTAAAATCCCATAGACCCAAAAAGAGAAACAAAAGGTTTATTGATACTATTAGTTTCAAACCATATGAAACTGTGCATTTGTCAATGCCCACAGTGTTAAATGCATTTTTTTTTGAGAAAGTAAATCTGGTGGCTGCATCTTTCGATACACTCAAGTTCTTCCCCAACACTTACTTTCCTAGAGTAACAAAGCATCAACATCCAGTGGCTGCACTCTTGAATCTTGACTGCATATATCTTGTTAAGATCAACCCTATTTGGAACCTTTTCCAAGGCGAAGAAGGGAAAATAAATCATGCAACATAATTCAAGAAAAAACCAATCATCATAGGATTTGATCCATGAAAACCTCTACATAGCCCCAACCATCTTCAACATCAGGTCCCTCCTAGAGTCCTAGTACCCATATATGACTGTAGATACTATAGTAACATTTGAATGACTAGAAATGGATCTAAGAATATGTCTACTGGATGCCACCAAAGGGCCACAATGATCATAATCCAAGTGATGCTGCTTATTCTCAAGCAGCCAGGTACAAGAAGCTTGGTTCCTACAAGTGTACAGTGAATTTGTTAATGTATCTGCACATGGAAGAACCTAGAGGAAAGTGACCATGAATATATGCATTATGTTAGTAAATGAACTTTGAAAAGACAATACATTAGCACCAAATAATTTAAGTTGAAGATTGAAGGCAAGACTAGATGACCGATGACACTGCAAAGCTGCTTCTTGAGGACAGTTGCAATTTCCCACATGCAAGGACAAACCAACAAATCCGTTCTAAAGGAATCAAATATGTTCTGGCCAGATTGACCTCTAGCTGGGTTGGTTTAGAGCTATCAACCAGTCAGGTGGGTCCAGATCAGCTTAGACTAATCTTGAACTGAGAAGAGCTCCCTGAAGTCTAATATATTCCTCTAAGATGTTCGAGTCAAGTGACTTCACTTATCCTGTTTGGTTTTGTGACCATGTTTTTATAATATTTTAGCTAATTAGAGTAAGTATTTGATAACTGAAGTATCACTGATTTGTCTAACTAAAAACAATTTGTGTTGAACATGTACAGACTTGCTTCTCTATTTGAATTTTATTCTTTTCTTCTTCTTCTTCTTCAGCCTGTTCAAGGTCATAATCAGCATTTTTGCTTGCTCAAGGACATAATCATAACAAGTATGGTTTCACCACCCATTTAATGGATGTTAGTTTGTGTGAATATATTTTATTGGTTTATACATTATGATTCTTGCAATTGTAACTCATTTTTTTTTTTTTTGTTTTTTTGGTTGGTATATGAATGATACCATTATAGATGTCTACTAGTGTGGTGAACAACATTGCATTTGATAGTGCACCAATTTGTCAAGCTAATTGGACTTTGGACCAAGAAAACATATTCATAGATTTGTTGGTTGAACAAGTCCAAAAGGGTGGGATGACTGGTTTAAAGACCAGTGCATGGAATGAAGTTAAAAATGGGTTTTTTGCTAAATTTGGATTGAAGTTTAACACAAAGGCTTTTATCACTTATTGGAGCTACTCGACTACTCCTAGGTTTATATGGATGGCTTCATTCTCAATCCTATCCTTTCTAGTTTTTCCATTCATCCATCTTAGCATTCACATTTATGCCATTCTCATTTTCTGAACATGTTGTTTCTTGACTGAGATACTAAGGAATTGGGCTGAAATAGCATAAACAGATGTGCCCAAAGTTCTTGTAAGCATGGAATGGAAGCCACGAGCACGGAACAAACTAAAACTGAATTTCGATGGGAGTTTTCTTTGCAACCCTGGAAGGGCAGGCATAGGGGGTGTGCTTAGAAATTATCTGGGTGTGGTGGTGGCACTCTACTCTGGATCAATAGGTTATGGTGACTCAATACAGGCTGAATCTCTAGCCCTACTTCAAGGTCTAAAGATGGCTGAGCAGATAGGAACAGCAGACTTAGAAATTGGAGACTCTCTATTGGTCATCTCTTGGGCCAAAAACATCACATCAGCACCTTGGAAGCTCRAGTTTATTTTCAAAGAAATTGACACACTTGCAAGGAAGTTCAGCTCTCAGTTTGGTTGGGTTAAAAGGGATGCAAATGGGATGGTGGATACCCTAGCAAAACAAGGGGCAAAAAGATCTTCATTGTATTGGGAAGAATTGTAACTGATTGCTGGAGATTGCAATTTCCTATGCAATCTTTAGCTATTGTATCTTAATCTCTCTGTTATTAATGAAAGATTTTTACTGATAAAAAAAACATGTTGTTTCTTGACTGCCCAACACCACCAGTTCCATACAACATGGCTGGCCTTAACAATTGTTTTATAGAATTTCCCTTTTTTTTGATAATTGAAAGATAATTTTGTTAACCAAAGAAGATAAGCTGTTACATGCATCCCTTGGAGAGGCGCAAGGTGCAACCTCATTACAGAAAAACAAGAAAAGGTTACAAACTTTCCCAAAATAGCTCTTCCCTAGATACCCCTTGTTTGGCAAGAGAGTCGGTGAAAGCATTTGCCAACCTACCCACCAATCGGACTCTAATTGTCATGTGTCTTGTTAACCATCTGACTTTTTTTTTTTTTTTTTGAGCTATAGCTCCAAATAACTGAATCTGGGTTCAATAAGCAACTTGCAGTCACCTTAGAGTCCCCTTCAATCAATAATTTCTCTACCCCAAGTTGGTTGCAATCTGAGTTCCTTGTACAACAACTAGCAACTCAGCCCTTGTAGAATCACTTACTCCCATCGGGCCTGAAAACAGTGATAAGATACTGCTCTCTTCCTCAGTTCTCAAGACTCTTCCAATGCCTGACAGTCCCGGATTGTCTTGACTCCCATCAAAATTCAGTTTAATAAAACCTTTCGGAGGAAGTGCTCAAACTGCTACAAGTTTATTTTTCTTAGATGATATGTTAGCTATTACAATCTAATTTCTCCAAAAGTCAACAAAGGAAAAGGGAATAAAGGAGTCTAGGGTTCTTAGCCACTGTATAGCTCTAGTTAAAATGCACTCCTTCACTACTGAAAGGGTTCTCTCCTTGTCATGAAAGATTCTAGAATTCCTTCCCAAATAGTCCTCAACGTGGCTACTCCGAGGCATCTCCACATGCTTCTCCCTTTTTTTTGTTGGTCAAACAAAGGTAGACGGGCTAAACAACAATTTTACTTCTGATGGCAAATTCCATCTACTACCAAACAATTTAGACATCCAATCCCACAGGGTTGCAGTGAAGGGGCAAGAAATCAGTAAGTGGTAGCAGATGCACCTACCACACAAAAGTCTAGATGCACCCCTCCATTTTGCCAATCTACTGTAATTTTGTGTGACATCCTAGTTAATCTCTCCCTTGTTATGAATTATTGAACCAGGGTACTAGAGATGGTCACATTGAGTTATCTCTTGGTTTCCAATCCTAAGTGTATCCTAATTTACACTCCTATTATTAGTAAATTTACATGCCATATACTCTGTTTCAGTCCTTATTTTAAAACCTCTTGTTTCTAGGGAATTTGTCCTTATTTTAAAACCTCTTGTTTCTAGGGATTTTGCCCATAAACTTAATTTTGCATTTAATGATTTAATCCTTCATTAGTTTCATGTCATCACTTAAGACAATGTCATCCACAAACAACATATACTCTGTTTAGTAAATTCATCTATGATCAGTGCAAATAGGTAAGGGCTAAGTGCTGAACCTTGGTGAAGATCCATCTTAATTGTAAAATCTGAAGTCTCTCTTATTGGTGTTCTAACATTGGTTGTTAGAAGAAGAAGAAAAGCATAAAATTCAAATAGAGAAGCAAGTTTGTACATGTTCAACACAAATTGTTTTTAGTTAGACAAATCAGTGATACTTCAATTATCAAATACTTCCTCTAACATTGGTTGTATAACTTGCTTCGCCCCCAGCCCCTTTTCAAGACCCACCTTTCAGCTAGTGCTATGCATATTCATTCTTCTTAATATACAAGATTTTTATTAAAAATAAAGTAAAATGAGATCCTCTTTCCTCTTCTTCCTCCTCCCCTTCCTCTTTCCTCCTCATCCCCCTCCTCTTAAGGAGGCATATGGCTCCTTGTGTTTGAGAGGCTTACGTCTTACGTCTCTTACATTATTTTGAACTGTGCTTCATGCCTCTAGGTAGTGGAATGCCTCATGTCATGCCTTCGTGTTTTAAAACATTGTTATTCACAAGGGAGCCAACTCTACTTTTGTCTCATCGATACCCATATCCTCAGAAGCTACACATCCTAAGGACTTTAAACCAATTAGCTTGGTGGGTGGGTTCTATAAGATTATTTTTGAAGTTCTGTCCTTGAGTTTGAAAGAGGTTCTGTCCTTATTGATTACTCAAAATCAAGGAGCTTTCATTCAAGGAAAACAAATCATTGATCAGATTTTGATTACGAACGAGTCTGTAAAAGAGATGGAAATATCATCTATCAAAAAAAAAAAAAAAAGAGATGGAAATATCAAAGGCCAAGGGGTGGGTGTGCAAATTAGACTTAGAAAAAGCCAAGGATGGCTAAACTTAGGTTTTCTTTATGATTCCTAATTCATTCACAATCAAGAATTAAACAAATATTATAAATCCATAGAACTCCTTCCTTTCCTTTTTTGTCCTTTTAATACAAGACATCATTCATTAAGATGACTTAGCTCTTATTCTCATGCTATTTATTGATCCATCTGATCTATTGGGTTGGGCCATCTAATGGTGCAATCTACCATGTGTTTGTCCTCTTCTTCATACCAAAGGGAATCCGCCATCTGGCATTGGTAACATGTAATGTGTTGATAAAGTGGGCTCCAAGTAGTTGTCATGTCTGATATTAGATTTTGTCTAACCATGTTTATTTTGTGACATGCTGAATATAACGAGGAGGTGGACTCCTAAATATTAACTGTCCATATCTGGTGATAGTTTGATTTTAGGTTTTGTTTTTCATGTGATATTAAACAACATCTATAGGATAAGGAGATCAACCAAAGCATTTAGCACATGGGAAAGACCAGTGATGCATATAATGGGTTTAGAATAATGCTAGTTGGCATTATGTATCATATGAAATGGGCTGATGTGGTTGACTTTAATTACATGTCATGTAATCAAATGTGGTAATGGGACATATTTCTGATACCCAGAGGTAGTATCAATTTTCAGGCATTCTGAAATATTTTCAGCAAACAAGTTTTTATAGAAGGTGCATAAATTTCAGACATCAGGAGTTTTCTTTTACTGAAATTACTAGTAGATTTTTCAGTACTTGACAAGTTATAAATTTCAGTAATTTTAGGACTGAAAGTACCAACAGATTTTGAGTATTTTAATAAGCTATAGAATTAATATTTTAGAAAATAAATTATGTTCCAGTTTTCATTTACCAAACAGCATGTTACTTGCATTTCCTGTGATACATGGGTGCATTCTTGTTGCCTTAACAGGAACTGTCCAATCCATTGAACATTTGAACCGACATGATGATCTACCGTCTTTTAAGTTTCAAAGTTTAGAACTTTAATTTTCAGTTTTTTGTTTACCAATCATTATATTAATTGCATTTCCTGTGAAACAGAATATATTCTCGTTGCCTAAACAGTCCAATTAACAAAACGTGCACACTGATCTTTTATCTTCAAATATGCTTCTAATGTAACATATCTTTAGGAAGCCACATATAAGCATTGACACAGCTCAAGTAACTAGAAAGAAAATGAAGAAATAGCTAAAAAATGAATAAAGAACAAAGAAACCAGATAGAACTTTATAGATAGAAATTGATTGCATGGAGATGCAACAACATTTGGGAACTCCTTCACCCAAGAGAACTCTTTCACTCTCAAAAGTAAAGCTAAATATAGATGCTCATGCTTGAAGTCTTGTGACTTTATTTAGAAAGAAATATAGTTATTGGAGCATTTAAAGCAAAACTAGCTATTAGAAACCTGATGAGGGCGGATTTGGCCCTCCAATGACATTGTGACACATGGCACCTCAGAACAACTAGGTGACACCTGGAACCACTCAGGCAACAACTTGCCAAATTGATGGTGTCCAACCTGGCGGCTTGGCACATGCGCTGACTTGGCGACCTGCGAGACGTGCTCGCCGACAAATTCGGCATGCATACCCCACGATCCTTGGAGGTTGGCCCTCGTTTCGGAAGATGGTCAATGTGCATGGTAGTTACCTCCGAGGATTTCAGACCAGTTAGACACGACCTCCCGGAGATCTCGGGGGCGGTATGTGAGCAAGGCCTATATAAAGGCACCAACCCCAATGACAGGGGGGAAGGGAGGCAAGTAAGCAAGTAAGCAAATTCTAGCTCTCATACTTTGCGATTTTTAGCTCGCAGTTACTATGAGAGTACTGACTTAAGCATCGAAGCGACCTCACCGGGTTAGCCACCCCGGGTCCTCTGATATTTGGTTCCTTGCAGGTCTCTAAAGAGCAACGAAGCTTATGGCCCATGAACGTTGCACATCACACATCCATACATCACATGCAGGGATAAAATTGATCCAATCAATTAATATCTGTAAAGCCCATTATTAAGGCCCATATTAATTCATAATATTACTAATTAATATTATCTAGGTATATGGGCTGAATAGCAAAGAGCAATTCGGCCCATATAGCTTTCTCTAGTTAATGGGCTTAAGTAGTTTTAACACATTAAAACTGAGCTTTATAGGTGTGGGCCGAATTAGGTCTTGCAATTAACTATCAATCCCTTGACCTAAGAGTGAAAAATTAGGGCTGAGAACAGCCCCCGTTGAACCACAGATTCAGTCCAACCAGTTTGGTCCAATCTAGTTCGAATGGGTCTAGGGTTTGATCTTTTAATTCAAGACTCAATTCAAGATTTGATCTGAAATTAAATTACTGATTAAAGACAATCAAGAATCAGTACTAGGGCTGTTCGCAGATCTGCTTCCTGCAAAACAGATGTTAGATTACAGTTTGCAGTTTCACAAATTGCAAATCGCAGATAGCAAAACCCTAATCTGCGAAATCTCAATTCCGCTTGCCGCCAGGCAGCCCTGCACCTGGTCAGCCCGGCGCCTCACAGGCAGCTCGCCACCTGGTCAGCCCAGCACCTCACAGGCAGCTCGGCACCTAGGCAGCTCGACACCTAGGCAACTCCATTTCGGCCTCTGAGTCATTGGCCACTTGGAAGCAGACCAAATGACGAGGTACTTAGCCAAAAAAAACTGATACTTAACCAAAAATCGATTCTTCAAAACCCACTACAGAACTAATTGTTTGAAACTCACAAAAAAGTAGTTGCTAGGAATCCACTAACCAAAGTAGCTGTTGGAAGCCCACCAAGGAGTTCAAATGTTGTCCCATTTGTCTTCTCCTTTGAAAAATGATTTGTTGCTTTTCGGAGCATAATTTTAAGTTGCATCAATCTCTTCTTAATAAGAACTTGTCCTCAAGATTTAACATCTCCATAAGAATAACTTACTGTCATTCTTCCATGAATTCTTTGTTACTAACTTTTTATTAGGCAATTAATGATTTAAACCTTTAGGTCCCATTCGTTTATTGGTAAGTCATTTACCAGGGAAATGCACTTACCCCCGGGTAAGCACATTTACTTGTGTTCTTTTGATCATAAATTTTACGCAGGTAAGCTAAACAATTGAGCATTTTCCCCACAAATTTCATTATTAGAAGGGACAATTTTGTCTGATAATGTTTTGGCAGCTAAAAAAAGTTAATTACCCACTTGGGAGATGGGTATACCCATGGGAAGCTGGAAGCACGCTTACCCGTGGGACCAACCGTTACCAAAAACAAATGCTGGATTTTTGGTCAGTGGGAACAACTTTTCTGTTGACTAGTTCCCCCACCCCCCCATTTACCGAAAAACGAATGGAGCCTTAATGCGAATTGGTAATTTCACTATCTTTTCAAAAAAACAGTAGATTGTAGTAGCTCATCATTTTCTGAAATACATGAATTGTCCACTCGTGTATAATATCTTGTTTTCACTAGATAGTTGAATGCTGACATGCAGTATGTCACTTGTTTGTCAGGGTCAAATGGATCTGGAGACGGAGAATCAAATAGCTGCAATACTCATGAAAGATGCAGCAGAACTGCGGCGGCAAGCTGAAAAAGAAGGTGTTCTTGCCTATCTTCGTCAGCCGAAAGTAAGGGGTCGACCAAATGCACGTTTTTTAACTGCAACTGTTCTTGGTGTGCAACAAGGTTAGTGCTGCAGTTCACTACTTTCTTTTAAATGCCTTAGGAAATGTGTATGAATTGTGTCAGGTAGAAAGGATAACATAGGAATCATATTTTTTAATGTACAATAATCTCTAGCTTCTTATAAGTTTATTTAGGCCCTGTTTGATGATTAAGTACTTGTTAAAAGAAGTGCTTGTTTTACAAGTACTTCTTAGAAGTACTTATTTTAACAACCACTTAAGGCTGTTTGGTAACCCACTTTTCAAATCACTTATTTGGGTGGGAATGTTTGGTAAACTCCTTTCCCCATAAGTGCTTATATTGACACAAATGACAATTTTAGCCCTCCCCCAATTTAATTCTTTGTTCTTTTCTTTCTTTATTTTTTCCTTCATTCAGTTCCTTTGGAATAAATTGTGGGCAACATACACAAACAGGATGACATACCAATCTCACATCATCAAGTTCAGAAAACAAGAAATAATGGAGCAGTGGGCAAAACAATCAAAGCAAACGTCTCTTACATAAAGAAAAAAAATCAATACGTGAATCTGTTCAACTTGACATTTTGCTAAACTTTGGAACCCATTTGCTGTTGGTTCCTGAGAAAAACCCAAGAATGGAAAAAAAACCAGGAAAAAAAAACAGAGATCACAAGTGTAGATCTACTAATGGAAAAAAAAACCCATTTGCTGTTGGCCTCACAAATGGAAAAAAAAAAAACAGAGATCGATCTTTGTTGAGTTTCAAGTTAAAAAAAACAGGAAGAAAATACAGAGTTTACAAGTGTAGATCTACTAAGCTCTTGCCGCCGGTGGATGGACGGTGAATTTGTCGCCGTTCGAACAGGAGAGTTCACAAGTGTAGATCTACAAAGAACAGGGGGTTCAAGTTAGCAAAAAACCAAAAAAAAAAAAAACGATTAAATGAGAAAAAAACTTCAGAACATAGAAGAAAGAGGCCAAACGACGGGCCCGTCGGCCATTGTTCCTCACCGCTGATCGTCGTCGGTGGACCTGCAATTGGTGCGCCGCTACTTGGGTTTGAGGTTCGAATGAATGGAGGAGGTATAACCCTTGTAGGGGTATTTTAGGCATTATAAAAATTTATCAAGGACATGTTCGTCCCATTTTTTTGGAGAAATACTTAAAAAAAGCCAACTTGAAGTCACTTTTTCAAAGAAGTACTTTAAAATTCCCCACTTTTTTACCAAACACCCATAAGTACTTTAAAACCACTTAATGTGTGGTCCAGTGATTTAAAAGGCGTGCCTAGGCGCATAGGGGAGGCACATTATTTTTTACGTGAGAAATAAGAATTTCAGACCCTAACATAGACTTGTTCGGGTTTGCCTCGAGGGGCGTGCTACAAAGGCGTCTCATAGAATCAAGAATGCAATATGTTTTACATCACATTAACTACTTGAAGCAATGCAATTAAGGAAACAAAGAGATTGTGGGTTTTACATGCTTGAAAATGCTTTATATGTTTGCTTTTATTTTTAAATTTTCATTTGAATACACTTTACATGTTATGTTTATGTATTTTAATTTTAGATAATATGTTTTTAAAATCATATTAACATTATGTTTAATATTTTTAATTTTTCTTTTTGCATATTTTAAAAATTTTTTGGCATTTTTTTTGGAAGTTTCTGACCTTTTTTATTATTTAGCTTTTTTTTTGTAATTTTGTGCCTTTCTTAAAAAGGCGCGTGCCTCGCCTCGTGCCTTGCGCCTTAGGCACAAATTGGCCCTTGTGCTTTTAAAACACTGGTGTGGTCCCATGTCTTAAAAGAAGTACTTCTTAAGTGTTCTCAAACACTACCTTAGAGCCTGTTTGGGAGTGCTTATCCTAATAAGCACTCATGAGATTTTGGTGAAAAAGCACTTATTTCAAACAGGGGCAGTATGGGTATTTTCAAAATGACATGGTGGGCCAAGATGGGCCAGAAAGGAAATAAGCACCTACTAAATAAGTGCGTAAACACAAATAAGTGCTTATTTTCGGGGATAAGCACTTATTCAGGCTTATTTGCCAAGTGCAAATAAGTGCTTATTGGTGTAGTCCTGGCCCAAAATAAGTGCTGATTTGAAATTGTATTCCCAAACATGGGCTTAGAAATTGTATTCTTTAATAGAAATGGTTGATTGCTTCTCATTTTCTCAACAATATTTTCTTAGCCATTTCCTTTTCCAACTCATGCTAAACAAAGCCTTGTTGATCATTAGGGGAAGAACAAGACCAAGGAAAGAGTGTATGGATGCTGTAGCTAATGTAATAGAGGATATGAACAGTGATTATTGTGTCATTCTGTCCAGAGTGGAGAGTTTGCCTTTTCTGTTTGAACCATGTCAGTTGAGGATAAAGGGAACCTCTTGGATTTTCCCAATTATTGGGGCAATACAATCTGTTGGTGTATGAAACAATTAACAGAAGTTGGATGCATGTAGTTTTCCATTTCATAGAGCTCCTGGGCTTATTTTCAGCCAAGACATGGCCCACTATTTGACTAAATTGATTAATGAGGTCAATGGTGCTTGGTGCCCAGAGAGTAGAGGTCAGACCCACTTGTGCATTGTGTGCAAGGGGGGTAGTTGTTGGAGCCAGGTTTTGTGCATTATATTTCATCCCAGTGCCTTCTGTGGTGTTTCCTTGTTTGATTTATTTATTTTTTTTGAATATGGTTCTCATCAGCAAATCGAGCTGCTGAAGTCAATGAAATGTGGCGAGTCCGGCAGAAAGAGCTAGAGCTGGATGATAGGCTGAAAGAGAGATCAAGAGACAAGAGTAGTAGTAGGAGGAAGCACGGGAACTACAATGGCTTTGACAAAAGGAAGCATGGGGACTGCAGTGACACTGTCAGGAGGCATGAAGAAACTGGTAAAAATGTTGATCCTTTATGTACATCAAGCAAAAGAGTCGTTGAAGAATGCTACTCTAGCGATGAGGGAAGCCTGCGGGATGAAGAAGTTGAAGAATTTCTGCACTCAAGGTTCTCTTTCACTTCTGTGTGTCTATTTTTTCGCCCCTACCCTAGATTGCAGCCTACTTTGTTTCAATTTACAAAATGAATAGTGCATTGTGCAATTTGAGGTTGTGGTGTTTTTCAATTAGTAATTCTTTCAAACTTTGGCTCACATTCTCTTTTCCGAAAGCAGGGTCAAGCGTGGTAGAGGTGCTGTAGGATCAAGGGTGGATGAAACAGGTCCTTATCTTCAACCTTCTTCGTGTTCCAACTCCAAGGATAAGCTTTTAGCAAGCTCAGATGTACGGCTAAAGGAAGAATGGGAACATCGTGTTCTTGGACCAGAGAAACCTTCTTTTCTGAAGTCTCACGAGTCCTCGGAAGACGAGCCTGATAGGAAAATCTCTGAGAACTCAAAAAAGCATCATTCTAAGAGTAAGCACTTATCAAAAAAAGACAAATGCCGTAAAAAAAAGAAAGAGCAGAAATCAAAGCATCGCCACAGGAGTTGAAGATAAATGACTTGGATAACTGAAAAGTCATTGCAATTGTGTAATATTTTTCAAATCCTTGAAAAGTCATTGCAATTGAGTAACATGTTTACATCTTGGATTGTGAGCATTGTTTGTTTTGTAAGCTGCATAATTTTCTGCTAGTAGTTGTACAAAGCGCAACCTTTCATCATGTCTAGGGTTATGATTATATAAAAAATAATCAGGCATTCACTAAGGTAGCAATGGAACCTTCGGTAATATACTACTCCAGTTAGACTGGACTGGACCCATTTACAGTTCACCTCTGAAATATGGCTGTTGAAATGGAGTGAAGAAATAACCTTTCCAGCAGCATAGATTTTGCCCTTTATTTGGTGTCTTCAGGCTTGCTATCTCAATACCCATTACCCAATAAAGAGCTTTTCATGAGTGGCAACCGAGCCACGGGCCAGAATTGCAAGCAGGAATGCTGAGTTACAATTAAAAAAATGCATCGGTGGATGGTTAGCTATCGAGAATTCTCTATACAGATGTCATTAAGGCTGTGTTTGGTTGCAATGTAAATAGATTGCGTTGATGCAAAATCATGGCAGTGCAAATGATTTAAGTTTTGCAATTTAAATAGATTGCGCTGATGCAAAATCATGGCAGTGCAAATGATTTAAGTGTAAATTATGACCTATTTCTGTTTTAAATTTTAGTTTTTTTGTTTGATTGCAGTATAAATAAAATAAATTAAGACATGAAACAGAATAAAGTAAAACCCAAAACAAAATTAAATAAAAATTTGTATTTTTCATTTGTGTTCAATTGCATTTGTACTAATGCAAATTAAATTGCGTTGCAACCAAACACAGTTAAGTTACAATAATAAATGGTTATTTCTATTATCTTTCCTTTGAATAAATAATGAACAAAGACCAATATTTTGATCTTTCCTTATTGTTTCTGGATCAAAAACGGTGACCAAGATTTTAAAAGCTGACCTGGAACCGAAATCATTATGGCCATCGGTTTCCGAAACAATTGTTTGATTGCCTGGATCAATAGGTCATTAATCAAATCAATGGTTTTTGGTCAAATATCAGGTTAAAGGTGAAACGGAACTGATTGCTTGAAACCTTGAACAATTCTTAGGTCAATCGATTCAATTATCCGATTCAGTCCGGCTTTCAAAACCATGAATGTGACTCAAAATATTAGCTCCTCAATATTAGCTATATATGTATTCACATTGACCGTGCTTGCTTTATATCTCACCACTTATAGAGTTCGAAGTAATATTATTATAGAGTTGAGGATAGTATTGTGTGCCCGTTTGGGAGGGCTTTCACGCAGCTGCTTCCTGTTGCAAGGTAGGTCTCACATGAAAGATCATGAAGTTATGTTTATTGAAAACCTCAAAAAGTCCAAAACCGCTTATATTAAACTGAGAAATTAACTTTGTGGTTCAACGTGATACACTCAGTATTTAAAGGTGTTTTGAGAAAAATATTCATTTAATTTATTAAATAATATAAAAATATCTATAAAATGAAACTTTGAAAAAAAACTAGAAAAATAAATCTGTATTGTATAAAGCACCCATTAATAAAGATGTATTGATATTTTGAACCATGATGGTAGTTTTTTTGAGATTAGGGATGGCAATTTTCCCCATCCTCGACAGGGACCCAACTTCCTTGACCCGATGGGGTTAGGAATGGAGATTGTTTTGGCAGGGCGGGGACAGGGATGGGGATTGAGGTCCCTGCTCTGCTCCGACCCCGGTTATATATATATTAAATATATATTATTATATTATACATATTTAAAATATTATTTATAATTTAAAATTTTTATTTATTTTAAGTAAATTTATTTTTCAAAAAATTATTATCTTAAAAAATTTTGGAGATTCGGATTCCCAAGGGGAATTCATCCCCGTCAGATACTGAGATGAGAGTTAATTTCAGAACCAGGGTCGGAAACAAGAAATATGATCCCTGCCCTGTAGCTGCTCCGTTGCCATTCCTATTTGACATGGATCAGTCAATGCAGCTCAATCAGCGTTAGACTGATTGTGTCAAGCATGCTAGGAGTCGATACTGATATCATACTCTAATTCTCTTTCCACTTCAATTGGCAACAACATAAACAAGTTCTACAGCACAGTTCCACTGTTGAGCCCAAGCTATCCCACCCACTGTCAATTGACCTATTTCCTTGGTCTCTACTGTTCTTTTGTTTTTTATTCTTCAACTGAAATTATAATCAATGAAAGAAAGAAAACAAGCCCAACTTGAACCATCTAAAAGGAGAGAGGCGAAGCGAGACAGCAGAGTAACCAGCAAGTTACAATGAATATTATCTTTTTCTTCTTTGAAGAGGTTAAGGCGGTGTTTGGAACCAATACTGTTTTTTGAGAGACAATTTTTAGAAAACGGTATTGCATTGTCATGCTATTTGTTCAGAAAACATTAAACATTTCTTTTTTCTTATTTAGTACCATTGTTGTTGCTATCATACAGGCATTTTTCAATGCCATGTTAGCATATTATTGTTAACAACAATAAGAAAAACGAGAAAACAAAAAAAAAGCGTTTACTCATACCACACATTTTCCGATTTCCAAGATGTCTTAAGTTGCAAGTGGAATTTATCTCCCTATATTTAATTATTTGAATTCATTAGGAATCTTAAGTTGCAAGTTGAATTTATCTCCATATATATATATATACATATAAAACAAAAATTGATTAAAAAGTGTTTGCATTTTTTTTTAATTTGTATAGACAATTTCACTTTTTTCCTTGTTAATAATATGCTAAATTTTGTACTCATAGATAATTAAATTGGATCGAATCATATTTCAATTTCTGATATTCTTAGTAAATTCAGAATCAAATAGATATTTGAAGATCCTCGGATCATCCTATGAGATAAGATATGGGAGGGTTAAGTCTTTTTACCCCTCCCTCCTGGTTGTAATTTCTATATTTCTTTTTATAAAATTTCTGTTATTAATAAAAAAAAAGATTAGATATGAGATTAAATTGATATTTATAAGATCCGTCTTGGATAATTGGATAGGATATAGGATTTACATTATTGGACCAGATTTGGATATAATTCAAAGTCATTCAAATCGAATTGATCCATTTGCATCCTACACAAAATTGGAAAATTGTGTATGGTTAGGGCTACAAATAAGTCAGATCTGATCCGAACCCGATACCAATCAGTTAAGAGGCAGATTCGCATATCTCCTGATACTAATACAAATATTGGCTGATTTGATCCATTGTGACGCGATCTAATTCCTTAATTATGAAATATTATATATTATATAATTTACATATTATATATTTTATATATTATTTTTATATTATATATTTTAATATATTATTATATTATATAAATATAATTCTAATCAAGTCAAATATCTGATAAAATATTCGAATTCGAATTCTAATCATGCCTTTGAAAATCCAAAAGAACCTTATCGGATTTTATTTACGGATAGGATAGGGTGTGCCCTTACCGAATCCAATCCGATCCGTTTACAGCCCTATACCCTTTGTGTGACCGGCCTTTTTGAACAGATGGGATAGGATATAGGATTTACATTATCGGATTGGATTCGGGTACATTTAGATCCATTAGAATCGATCCGATCCAATCCATTTGCATCCTCCACAAAATTGGAAAATTGTGGGTGGTCATTGGACAGAAATGGGAACCAACCATAACTGTAAGCGTCCCCGCCACAATGACAATAGGAGCCGAATGACGAAGAGGATGATAAAGCGGCAATAGCGTTAGTCCTCCCCGTTTGTTTTTTTGGTTTTCAACCGCCTTTGCTTTCCCTCTCGTGTCTGGTTTTATTCTTTGTTCGAGACAAAAAGGTTCTTCTTCAAAACCCTAGTTTCAAAATTCTATATTCCCTATTTTTTTTTATTCGCTGAAGGGGTTTTATTTCGAAGCAAAAAGCAATCTTTCGTGGGAGAGACGGAAGGAGAAATCAGGTCACGTCTTCTTCGTATCCTGAGCTTCAACGAGCTGATGGTTTCTGGTGCCCTAGAGGGTACGTTCATACGCTCATACCCGGGTTGAAATTTGTCAGTATTTGATAGATAACTTTTTCTTTTGTGGATGTTCTGGGCCATATATTTTATCTTGTATATTAATTATTAGGGTTTTCTTGTGAGGTCTGTATATTAAATGTTATAGTAGTTTTTTTTTCTTCCTTTTTTCGCAGGTCGAATTTTCGTTCCTTTGGTTGTTTCATTGGAGTTTTCCCTCACCCATCGTTTGTGTTCTCCCATTTTTTTCTCAAGTGCTTAGCTCTTTTTCCTTAGGTGAACCTGCTGTGTGTTTTTGGGGTTCTGTTATTGTTTGTGGTTGTTTGAATAGAAAATCTGGCTTTCCTTATTTGCTGAGAAAATTTTCTTTCTTTCGTTTTTTTTTTCAAAATTTTAGTTTCCTTGATATCAAACATGTTAATATTGTAAGTTGAAAGTTATAGCGATGTTGGCTTGTAAGTTACCACCCTGCTTTATTGAGAGTGAGTCTTGGTAAACTCAGTTCTTGGGTGTGAGAGAAAGAAGAAACTTGGGTTGTCATATCCAGTTATGGAATTCAACGGGGATTCATCTGTTGTGTCGGCAACTAAATACTGTGTTTTCTCTTTGATGTTGTTATTTGTTAATTTGCTTGTTTTTGCTTACACTTCGAGTGCTCTCTCGTTTATTTATGGTGTGGGGGAAGTAGATGATCCATTGCTTTTTGACTATTGGTATGTTAGGCCTGGTTAAGTAAATGAATGGGTGCGTGAACCAGTCACAATGGCATTGATAACCTACCAGATGCAGGTACTTAAGGAAACCATGGCTTGATATCTACGCAAATATTTTTGTTTGTGCTTTAAGTTTTTATCTCAATGTAAGGAGCTTGTGGAGATTTTTATGGATCATTTCTGTATGGATGAGTCAAATCACATTTTTACCTCTATACTTATATGAAATGTTTTCTATGCTATTGGATTTTGATCAACCTTTTTTATTTAAGAAAAAATCAAATAATTCATCAACTTCTCAAAGTGCTGGAGCCCTATTGATCACCATATGTCCATATCTAACATGCACTTCAAATCGTCTATATGCAATTTGTGGCTTTAACCCCATATCAGAATTTTTTTTTTAACTTACTAATCCCTCTTAGTAGGCTGGTTCGGTTGATTGTTATTCCTATTTATTGCTTTTCAGAGTTCTTATGCCACCTTTCCATCGAGGTCTTTATCATGGACCAGATGCATGAAATTGAAACCTGTAGCTCTTCGGTTGGTTGGGAAATTGGATAGAAGTGCAGCATCAAAGCACAGCCTTTGTTTAAGGTATGAGATGCTCGATATTTATCTATGCTGCTTGCGTTCAAGTTATTTTTCTTTCTCTAGATATGGATTATGAACCCATGGCTGAAAAGTGAAAAGTGACAATGTGTCTACCAATCCATGGTTGAAACTGAAAACTTTTAATTGGTTGGTGAAATTGGACAAGTGCTTAGTTGGGTGCAGGATAACAACTTATGATCTAGATCTATTAGATTCAGTAGCAGGAACTAGCCTATTAAAGGGGGTGTTCGTCACAATTATTTTTGGTATATCTTTCTTCCTTGGCAAATTAATGAAATTCTTTTAGTGTCACTGATCCCAAAAAAATCTGTCAGATTTATCCATTGCTAGGTGCACAATAAGCAACCTTTGCTACCTTTTCTTTATCCCCCTAATCAATACAAAGGGAAATATCCATTGCTAGGTGCACAATCAAGTACATCTGCCATATGCATTAACTGACATTCAGCATTTTTTCTAGAGAAAAAGAAAGTTTACATTAGATTTTTACCCTTTCTGGCTTAGATTGTATGAACTAATATAAAATTTTTCCTTCAGCATAGGTGCTCATTGTATGCTTGAACCGAGTAAAAGAAATTTCAGGGTCAGAGCCTTCAAAAGCAGTGCCCAGGATGATGAATCAGGTGGATGTAAATTCCCCAAGAACAATGTTAAACTCTCCTATGCACCACATGATGGTGAAGAAACAGTGACAGAACCAGCAGGCATAGAGAAGATATATAATTCAGAAGATGGTGAAGATTCACTAGCGGGATCTATAGCCATACATGAGCTATTCAATAAATGGCTGATGATGTTGCGCACACAATCATTGAATCAAGCACCAAATGGGATTTTTGAGGGACCGCCACAAAGTGATATCTCAAAATGTCACAATGGGACCCAGAAACAGGAAGCGATTAAAATTTTCAAGGCAGCATTGTGTTACTTTATGGGACTTCATGCAACAATTAAGGTCCCTCTTGTGATATTGTAAGTATTACATTCTTACATTCTTACATTCTTAATCCTGAGAAAGGGTTCTTTCTGATACCCTAATAATATAGTTGTGGAGTCATCATTTCATGTTAGCATCCAGTTGCTCATTTTTTTGTACAGCCAACAAATTATAGTTAAGATTATAAACATAAAGAATTGTTCAGTTCTTTTTTGCTTTATTGATTGACCATTATATAGTTTTATGAGCTTGGACAATGATGGCAATGGTGGATCTGTAACTGAGTTATTGACACGTTGTGTGCAGCATCCCTTGGTACCTGTCAGTTAATGTGGTTTATGGGCCTAAAGTCTCGAAGGAATTAACCCCTCTTTGGGTATTTGGGCCACTGATCGTGGCTCTCTACATCAAGATGCTCCGAGGACTCTGTGCATTATATATTTTCAGCTTCAAGCAGACCGTGCAAGTCTTGAAGAACTTACCAACCTACTACAACTATGTGGCCCGGGGCAAGCTCAAGGAAGATCTGCTAGCGTATTTCTGGCAACCTGTGGTTGACATTAAAAACATGGACCACAAAGAACTGTTTAGGAAGAAGCTGAAAGAGTTAGAAGCGTGGTTGGTGGAGAAGTACTTGGATTTCGTGGAGTCAATATGGCCGTATTATTGCAGAACAATCAGGTTTCTAAAACGGTCTCATCTCATTTAATTTCAGAGATTGTTGTGTGTCTTGATTGAGGAAAGCGGGAGGAATGGTTTTACCTTACAGCCTTTCAACGAGGTATTGTTAATGGAACGGTTCTGAATGTGTCCATTAATCAATGACGGGGCATTTTTGAATTATTTATTTAATTTCATTTATGTTTGACAGGAAGCAATCGTGGCTTAGAAAATCAATGCATCATCTTTTGCTATTTTACATTTGTTCTTTCGGCTCCGGTTTGGGAAGAGTACGCTTATGGAGTTGTACACCGATTGATTTAAATTTTTGGACCGTTGTAAATCTGAAGTGCCAATATATCAATGTAAATAGTTTTTATTGAAGTTATCGATTATCGATAAAATGGAGTTTAACATTGATTTTCGATGTTAAAAATCGGACCAAAATGTTTAATTACACCATTCCATATTTACACGAAGGTTCTAAATATCTATACATCCGATGTGCCGGTAGGGGTGTATCGGGCAGTATCGGTACTTTATTTTATTTTATTTTATTTTTGAATCCGGTTTAGGGGGGCGGTTTAAGGTTCCTCTGCTCCCTGAACTGGTCAAAATCCCGACATATATTTTCTGTAGGGGCGTATTGGGGGTGCTTCCGATACGATTTTTGAACCTTGATTTACACCACAAACAAATGCAATGTAATGTAGAAATAAAAGGTTTAAAAATACGCTGAAATATTTGTATTTGCACTCTTTTCAAAGTGAGTTTTATTTATTTATTGGCTACCAGCAATTTCACATTTGTTATGGTGCATGCTAAATTGCTAACCTCCAGCCATTTCACATTTTTCTTAACCTAAATTTCCTTTCATTGTTCGATGGTGTCTTTTCTAATGTTTTTTACCTGTGGTTGATCCATTGATTCGTCATCTGAGCAAGAAAGCAGGCTTTTTTTCCCCAGCTCAGACCCAGCAAATTGAAAATAAAATCATTGGCTTGGTCAAAACATGTCGACCTGCACGGTTGAGACTGGTTATTGGTGAGCCATTTCAAATGGTTGACGGTCAGTTAAGATTATTAAATTTTATTTATTTATATTTAAATAATATTTGCCCTCAGAAAATAAATTTTTATGGCTTTTAATTAATAAACTCCCGATAAAAGATAATGTAAGGTTAAGTTTGGGAATATTTAAAAATACATATTTATTTGAATAAACACTTATTTTTCGGCTGAGATTACATTAATAAACACTTATTTGCGTTTAAGAAATAAGCCAGAATAAATGCTTATTTAAGAAGCCCAAAATTTGAATTTATTTTTAAGTGTTTATTTCCTTTTTGACTTATCTTGGTCAGTCATGTCATTTTGAAAATACCTGTACCATATTACTCTATTCCTGTTTGAAATAAATGCTTTTTCACCAAATATTCAAGAGTGCTTATTAGAATAAGCACTTAATTGTCCCGAACTCCACCTAATTAGAAGAGGCTTAATTGTGATTTTGAGTGTCAAATCTGTGGAAATCGAGAGGAGGGCCACATAGTTGTTTCTTGCTAGATGGCCTCGGTCCCTAGTGGAAGACCATATCCCTGGACCGAAAATGGACCATTAGAATGGTGGAAAGATATCATAGCAACAAAACGTGGCAAACAGCTATGCTTTTATCATGTTGGTACCTTTGAACGAATAGAATGCTGCCTTGAAAATCTTCACAGGCTATAATATAACTGGATTTGTTACATAGGTGGCTCGTTATAAACAGCATGGTGAGCAGAAGATCCGGATTCTCTCTTTTTTATTGTGAAATGAAGAATCTTGTAGCAGCTAAAAGTGTTGCGGGATTTGTCACTTGGTTTGGTGCTTCCACTAGTTGAAGGTATTATTACTGGTCACATAGCATCCAGTCAAAACAGTGAGAAAATGGAAATATCTCTCGTACATATATGTTAAATTTAGTTCCTAATGTACGTTTCATACTTTGTACATATTTTGTGCGGTTCAAATTGAGTCAGGTTGGGCTTGAATCGGACTTGGGCTACCCAAAGCCTCAACACAAGCCCAACCCAAATTTAGATCATGCAAGAGACCCCGAGTCTTCTAACCCAGGCCCATCCCGCAACTCGAAAACTCAGGCCCAACCCGTGTAGGGGAGACGAGAACAGCGCTCCCAGCCTCTAGAAATCGAGATTTGAAAAGGGATCAGATCGCTTCGTTTGGGCGTCGTGGTGTGTAAGGGTTAGGTTTACCGATGACCGATGAGAATTGGACCGTGTCTCCTTTCTTTCCATTTCTTTTCCTTGTAGAAAATCTGAACCATTTGATGAATGAACACAACACAGGCAGGTGCTGATCAGATTGTCGTATATGCGGTGCACATATGGTTTTGTGGGCCCAATAAATTGGACGTCCGAGATTTATGTTTATCTTCCTCGGTGCATTTGTCGGTTAGGAATATATGCGTCCCTATCCATCAGCGAAAGCCTTTTGGCGTCTGGGTGAGAAGAAAAACAAGAAAAAAAAAAAGAAAACCAAAGAGCAGAGAAAAAAGATTTACATATTTTTAGTGAACAACAGTGAGAGCCTGTCTAAAATCTAAATGGGGTTTGCCGTTTAATCGAGAACATAACAAAGAGAAACTTTCTTTTGTTAGCTGCAGCTTCAGAAGTAGTTTTGGAAACTTCTTCATTCTTTCACATTTCTCTTCATTTTCTTTACAAATCTTTCAAGTGGATATCTGCTAATCCTTAAAGTCGAACGGGTTCGAGTCAAAATCGACGGACATGAAGGTTTTAGTTCTGTAGCAAGCAGTTCTTGCCTTGGCTACAAGAATGACTATTCCTCTTGGGTCTTCTTTGTCTTGGGTTTCTCCATCTCTTTCTCCTCCTTATTCCAAAGGATATTTGAAGGTATTCCTCAACTTCTTTCATGGTTTTGTTTATCAAATTATCTCAACTTCTGTTTATACTTTATACTTTTTTTTTAATCATATTAGGGTACAGTCTATCAATGATGTTTTCGTTAGGGTTCTTACCGATATGTGCAATCGGAGATTGTGTGGTGCTGGAATCCATGATATACGTTATTCTGACTTCTTTGAGTTTGTCGTGGTTGTCTGTTAATGGTTTAAATACCAAGAACTATGGTTGGCTATCGCTAATCGAAGCCTGCAATCTGCTTCCTAAGGAAGTATGCTTTATCGAGTCTCTATACAGAGGTGGATGATAAGAGTTTTAGTTCCATAAGTGCTCATATTGCCTTTCCTTGTCTGGTTTTCTCTTGCCTACTTGCAGTTCCTGTCTCTAGATATTCCTTTTTATAGGTTGAATCATTTCAGGTTGGTCTTGATAGTCCTTTTATTAGAAACACATAAGGAATGTGTTATAGGTATCTTTTTCTTCTGTTTTCCTTTTCGACTAAGGAAATTATTCGTGCACACAAGCCTGCTTTGGTAGCATAAAGGAAAAGTTACTCGCAATATATTCCAATAGTGAACCAGTTATTGTCTGCGTCTATAGAAGTTAAGAAATCATGGTATCTGTTCCTCATTTTTCAAGATAGTTTTTGGATTTGTTCTTGACCTGTAACATATGTAACATCTTTTGGTGGCTACCTTCTTTGGTTGTTGATTACTGGATAAACAGAACCAGTATGTATAGGAGGGTGACATATTTGGTGGCACAAAAGGTTCCACATACAAGAACCAATTTTTGGTTGTTGTATCAATTTTTTGTGCTAAGTACCTCGTCATTAGGTTTGCTTCCAAGTGGCTGATGACTCAGAGGCCGAAGTGAACTTTTGTTGGATGAGGACCTGGATGCCGAGCTGACCAGGCCGAGCTGGGGGCAGATTAGGTGCCGAGTTAATTGGGCCGAGCTGGGCAGGTTAGGTGCCGAACTAATTGGGTCGAGCTAGGCAGATTAGGTGACGAGCTGACTGGGCCGAGCTAGGCAGGTTAGGTGACGAGCTGACCAGAGTGCCGAGCTGCCAATTTGTTACCGAGCTGACTAGAGTGCCGAGCTGCCTGGTGGCGAGCTGGATTGATTGTTGAGATTCATAGTTTAGAGATCTGCAAGGAATCAATGTCAGAGGACCCGGGGTGGCTAACCCGGCGAGGTCGCTCCGATGCTTAAGTCAGTACTTTCATAGTAGACTGCGAGCTAAAAATCACAAAGTATGAGAGATAGAATATGCTTACTTGCCCCCCCCCCCTCCCATGTCATTGGGGTTGGTGCCTTTATATAGGCATTGTTTGGCGTGGGCTTCATGCACCATATCCGAGATTTTCGAGAAGTCGTCTAAGTGGTCCGAGATTCCTTGAGGCAACCGCCATGCACGTTGACCACCCTCCGGATCGTTCGGCACGTGGGCCAACTTCCAAGGATCGTGGGAGTGTTAGGATATGCATGCCGAATTTGTCGCCGAGCATGTCTCGCAGGTCGCCAGGTTGGTGCTTGTGCTAGGCCGCCAGGTCGCGCCTGTGCCAGGCTGCCAGGTCGCGCCTGTGCCAGGCTGCTAGTTCGCGCCAGGGCCAGGTCGTGCCAGGGCCAGGCCGCCAGGTGGGACACCATCAACTTGGCTAAGGCAAGTTGTTGCCAAAGTGGTTCCGGGTGTCACCTAGTTGTTCCAAGATGCCATGTGTCACAATATCATTGGAAGGCCAAATCCGCCCTCATCATGTTTCTCATTTTTCAAGATAGTTTTTGGATTTGTTCTTGACCTGTAACATATGTAACATCTTTTGGTGGCTACCTTCTTTGGTTGTTGATTACTGGATAAACAGAACCAGTATGTATAGGAGGGTGACATATTTGGTGGCACAAAAGGGTTCCACATGCTTTCTTATCTACTTCTTATTAATGGGGAAATTTTATTCTGCCATTTGGCCAGGTCAAGCTCTTCTATAGATTCAAATGTTGAGGCTTTCAATGTTGTAGCAATCTATGTGGAAAACATCCATTTGGTAATCGGATATGGGGCTGATATTGAATGGGAGGTGATGACATGCCCAATTGCGTGACTTCTTTAGGCCTTCATCTGAGGAACATGCTGGTTTAGCCATGTTATCTCTACACATGGCTGAAATATATGATAAGTTATTTACACAAGAAGCTTGAGGCCCTGAACAACCTGTTTAGAGAACTTCTGTCCATATAGGTATTCTGAATAATATTTCAATCACAGATGGTAATTTCTATACACATTCGGAAACACAAAGTTTCTGTATTGCAAGTTAGTCAATAGTCATAATATTTTGCAGTATAGCTGTCAAAACAGAAAGGCCTTAACTCTAGTAGTTCTGTAGGCAATTCTATTTTCTTAACACCAAGAAGCAGGACAAATTTTTCTTGTTGACCTACCCAAAAAGAGGACCTGATGTCTTACATCAACTACCAACTTTACCCTTTTACCTGATTGGCAGCTTGGAGAAAAACCTTCTTAAACTGGGTTATCAATATGGTGATTAAAATTAACATTTCGTCCTCTCTTGAACTCATTTTGGGTTTAATAGATACATTTATCATCAATAATAAACATCCTAACTACAATATGAGTGAAAGTATACAGAACTATAGTCCAATTGTAGTGAAAGGTACAGGTATGGTGAATACACTACTTACAATAAATAGAGGAGCTTCTTTTTTTTTTTTTTTTGGTGGGTGGAGATAGTGGTTATGTCTATAGATTGCAGAAAGCATGATAGTGAAAAGAAATGGGCCAGGAAAAAGACCTTGTCATAAGACCATGGGTCAGCAGCTCATATTTGCATCCCACATGCCATATATAGCCCATATGCTAGGCCCATTCCAGCAGTGATGGCCAGCTCAAGTGGGGCCCATACAGGTTCTCTCACTCAAAGATTTGAGACTCATGCAGCTTCTTCAATCAACATTTTGATTTGACATCATATCAAATAAGGATTAAGAAGATATTTTAGATTATTTCTTTCCTTGTTTAGTTACACTTGGTGAAGAAGATAATTATATTGTACATCTCAAAAAGGATTGAGTGCTCATCTATATATACCATTGTAAGTTTTGTAACGAGTGTTTTGAAATGATGAATAAATGAATTTTGAATTGCTCCTGCAAGTTGATGGTTTGGTGCTGACTTCAAGCGTATGAAGATACTACTCCTTCATCTTTAGGTGTCAACTCCTAGAGGAACCTAATTGTGCTGATTCCATTAGGACCTATCTATTGTTTTTTTTTTTTTTTGTTTTGTCTGTTATTAGCTCATTGCTGAATATTATTCTATTAAATCTCTGCCTCAAGATTCCTGGTCTGTTTATTCTTTTTATTGTTCTACACTTTTACAATGTGGATCATATCTCTCACTTCCCTTTGCATTTTCTCTTCTCTGTTACAAAATTCCTGCAATCCCCTTTAAAATAGTACCGCATCCATTCTCACTGCCATCTATATTTCTACAAACTTGTAATCACTGTGGGAGCTCATTTCCACCCTACTTCAATTCTGCGTCACTTGTTTAATCAATTTCCAATCACTTACAGATCTGTCTGACCTACTTTCCAGTCTCTCTCAGTTCTTCATCTTCAATCATCTAAAGCACCTTTACCTATTGGATGGTACAAGTGAGGGATTTTGGGTGGGTTTGCTGTATCAAAGCATGCTCTGGAAGAGAATAGAATACAAAACATTTTGGTCTTATATTCAAAAGTAAAGAGAAAAAAACTGTTCTTATTATTACTTCAGAACGAAAAGACATTGGAGAGATATTTATCAACTAAGAGCAATAAAAGAAAAGCATATTGTGCAAGTAAAAAAAGGATTATATTCATTATTGCAGAGTAAGGATAAAAAAGAAAGGATAAAGAGGCAGAAAATTGTCTTTGTTTTGTCAATGCCTTTTTTTATTTAATTTAATTTATTTTTTTTACTTTTACACATGCAGATGCACATCTTGTAAGCTACACCAAATTCCCAGGAGTGATCCATTGTTCAAAATTACGAACTTACTATTCTTCTACTTCCTTCCTGTCTCTAATGATAAAAATTAAAAACTTTTTGGACCTTTATAACCAATAGAAGAGACCTGTATTCTGCCAAAAGTTTTTTTAAGGAGTTCCTTGTATTGTGTGTGTGTGTTTTTTTAAGTTTTTAATTTTTTATTTTGATAATTATCCTTGTGTTGTGGTTCTGCTTAATCAAAATAGTTCTGGGGGTGTTCTTCTATTTTTTGTTCCATGCATGTCATTTTGTGTGACTGCTGAATTGTTGGTCTTTCCCTCTTTCCATGGGCCCGCATTTTCTTTTCATCTATTAATAATATTGCTTTTAATCTTGTTACTGATCAATAAGAATTGTACAAACATAACACACTATTTATGAAGTGATGATTATATTATAACCTTCTTACTGTCTTCACTAATTTCTCCAATCATCTTTGAATCTTGAATCAGAAATTTGCTAGGTGGCAAAACTATTTTTAGACTTGACAAGCATAGGGGGCGTTCTACAACATGAATTGGTTTTTTTGTTGCTGGTTCTAAAAACAAATCAAAACCACGTGGTTTGGAAACAGATTGTTTCTCAAAATAAGAACACAAAAAACATGTTCTCAGTTGTGTGTTTGTTTTCTGTTTTCAAAACTAAAACCAAAAACATGTTCTTGAATCTGGTTTCAAAAACATATTTTTTTTTATCAGTTATTCTAATTATTCTACTTCATGTTCCATGAAACATATGATTTCTATACTAAAAAGATTGTTTTTGTTTTAAAAACCTATATTTTGTTTGTTCCAAAAAATGTATTGTTTTTGAAACAAAACCTACTTGTTTTTTCTTTTGAAAACAAAAACAGAGTTCAAGAACATGTTTTTGTTTTTTGCTGATGTGGCGATTCCAAAAGCAAAATGAAACAAAAACATTCATGTTGTAGAATGTCCCCATAATAAACCCTCTGTAAACTTGGGACTGTATTTGCACATATGACATTTAAACGGGTTTACTTGACCATAGTAGACCTTCTTTGTTGATGAACCTTGGTTTGAATTTTCATTTTGCTTTGCATGTGGCTTGTGTCTGGATACTTTGGCTAGAGCTTACTGGAGAAAAATGATTATTTAGAATTGGAAAACAAGAAGGTACATCTTGAACGAGGGCTTGCAACTCCTAAACTTAGAATTAAAAGCTCCACCTATGTTGGTGGAACTTCTAATTCCAATGGTTTTTAAAGTTGTCTAGTATCAATACCATTCTGGTGAATCAAAGAACAAAATTTTCATATATGCTTCACTAGAAATTTAATTCCCATGGCAGGTCCAATCCATAGTACCTATTACCTAAAGGCCAAAGATGGCTTTAGTTATGTAATAAAGCCACGACTTGAAATTTAATTCTCTCTCTCTCTCACACACACACACACAACTTCAAAGTTATTATTATAGTTATGTAATGAAGGTGAGGGTGGGCCATTGCCTCACTAGGTATTGAGAAGGAGGTGATGTAGAATCGGGATAGGGTTTCTACAAATTTCAAACTAGTGGTGAGATTTGTTAGGTGAAGGGGCTTTAGGTGATTGAAGATGAAGAATATGGATGGGAAAGCAAGTAGACAGCTGGATGCCCATCAAAGAATGAGCAAAACTCAGAAGAGAGAGAACTCTTGCTGTTAGGATCAATGTTTTAAAATGTGGAGGCGTGACATGAGGCGTTCCACTACCTAGCGGCGTGAGGGATAGTTCAGAATTTAAGAGGCGTAAGCCTCCTGAACACAAGGAGGCGTAAGCCTCCTTAAGAGGAGGGGGGTCAAGAGGAAGAAGGAAGAGGAAGGGGAGGAGGAAGAGGAGGAAGGGGGATCTCATTTTTTCTTTATTTTTAATAAAAATGTTTTATATTAAGAAGAATAAAGATGCACAACACTAGTTGAAAGGCGCACCTCCAGGTGTATGCCTCCCACGTCTTTTAAAACACTGGTTAGAAGAAGTAATGGGGGAGAAAGAGATAGGAAAATAGAGAATAATTCCTGGTAACAACCAGGACTCTAACTCTTAACACAACTCTAATAACACTTTTGTAATCCTACTAAAATTGACAAGGCACCTACAACTAGAAAATAAATTTAAAAACCAAAAAATAGCAGAAAATAAATTCTGCAAACAGCTTGGCTGATGGTTTAGCTAAACAAGGAATTCAGAGGCAATCTATGTTCTGGGCTGTTTTGCAAAATGTGGGATAGTTTCTTTTGGGCTTCATGCTTTAGCCCACAACTTTTCATTGTAATTGCCTTTTAATGTAATGAATTAAATTTTGTGTTGCTGATAAAAAAAAAATATTCTATCACCCAAGTTGGTATATCTGATTCTCCTTTACAGCTTCAGGCCCTTGGGGCCCTTGATCATTTGATTGGAGAGGCAAAGATCTTGGTGTCCAAATTGAACTGCCGGATCAAGTTGGTATCTAGATCAGCAAATTGCCTTGCTGATGCTTTAGCTAGAGAAGGTGATATAAGAGAGGATTTTATTTGGGGGCCCTGGGCCCTGTTTTTAATTTTAACATAGTGTAAATGTAGAAATTCTTTGAGGCAGTCTAATGCAGTTTTTGTTCTGGATCTCCTTATCAATCTCATTGTAGTGAGTTCTTTTTTTTATCATGTCTATGTGCCTACATGTGAACATCAACTGTAGTATACCTTTTTTTTTTCCCTCTAGAAAGATAAGCTTTATGGGTTCTCCCTATATAACCTTTCTACATGTATCTTGTTCTTGTGTTTGATTTGTCTCTTATGGGCCTATTGTTATTTGTTGCCATTTGATTAAGTATCAAGTATTGCACAAATACGCATGTATTATGTTCACATGTGTGTGTTTCCACATGTGAACATCAACTGTATACCTTTTCTCTAGAGAGATAAGCTTTATGGGTTCCCCCTAAATAATCTTTCTACATGTATTATGTTCTTGTGTATGATTTCTCTCTTATGGGCCTATTGTTATTTGTTGCCATTTGATTAAGTATCAAGTATTGCGCAAATGCAGTTATTAAATATTCCTTCCAAGGGCTTTCCTTAAAGAAAACCTTATCTTATTTCCTCATTGCTAACTCTCATGCTTTACTGTCCAGCTAAATCTATTGCGAGGATGCTTTGATGGCGGCGAGCGATGTGATTTGCAGCAGCTGAGTAGTTTTAAGGGTATTTTCATAGTCTCTTAGTAGATACTGAGATTTAAAATCCTGGTTTGGGCAGTTGATGCAACCTGGCTGAAAATTCACACGTATGTAAGATATATAGACTTAGTCTAGTACAATTTGTTGTAAATTGTAATTTGAGACCTTTGGTTTACTATACCAGTAGTCCAGCACCAAGTTCATTTCTGCTATTCAAACAAGATAGAGTAGGCTTGACAGGCTTGACCGCACTTATACCACCTTGGATGTTCAATTCCAATAATCCCTTCTATTTTGAACTTATACCACAATGACACGATGCCATTTGTGGCAGTGACGGCATCTTATGACTACATTGGAGCTGACTATGATCTTGCTCAGGCCCTGCAAGCCTCCAAACATTCTACAAGTTAATAAGTTGGGTTGCTAATGTGGCATTGCTAACACTTCAGGGGTTGGATCTGATAAAATCCAATCAAAAGACACCTCAGTTGTTGGTAATACTGGGTTTTGTAGTCTGTTGTACATGTCTTGCTTGTAGCAGAACAGAAGGCCTTTTGTTCTAGTTCATATACTTATATCTTAGGGCCAGAGTAGGGCTGTCAATGGATTTGGTGCTAATCCACATTACTAATGCTCAGTTCTTTATGTTCTTGTAGCCAAACCAAGCCAACTCATGTGTTTATCATGGAAGAAAAACGATGTATCATGGAAGGGAAATGAAAACTTCTCACGGAGGCAATTAATTCTATTTGCTACTTCAGAAGGTCAGTCGTCAGATGTTGAATTCAAGTCATATGCTTCTCAGCAAGAAAACCAGCATCAATCTGAAGTGAACTTTGGTGAAGGCACTTCCTATCTCCACTTTGAGGGAACCAGGGGAAAACCTGGTCTTATCTCGTTTTATGGTTACAGAAAACAGGAGGAAATACTTGTATCAAGACTGAGAAATGATAAACAGAACCTTCTGGTGTTTGTTGGTCCAGTTGTTCTTGTAGCTTCTTTCATTCTACCATCACTTTATTTGCGCAGGATACTTTCTGCTATATTTGAGGACTCCCTATTAACAGGTAAATATACTCGTACAGAATAATTTATATTGACAAATAAGTCTGAATGTAATAGGTTTAGGTCATTTTTGTTACACAAAGATCAGATAACCTTTGGCAGATGTATTGACTAAACAAGTTGCGAACAGAGATCAGATTCTCTAGTAATCCCTCCCCCCCTCCGCCAATATAACAATGGGTAAGGTAGCAGAGGCTATCTAGGGATGCTAGGGGTGCTTGATACATTTTCCTTTTACACATTTCATTCTTTTACCACTAATCAATATAAGTGGAAAGTTACCAATAAAAAAAAAATAAAATGTTTATGCAAAAAGTTAATTGTCAGAACAAAAAAACTGGGGGAATCTATCATCTGTAAGTGAAATGTCAGGACACATGCAACCCATGGATGGTTTTCATCTGAAAGATCCTAACTGAATGGAGGACCAAGCCAAGGGGCCCTTATTGTTCTTTTAACATTTGAAAGAATGTGAGAAGTGGGGTGTTTATAGTTGTTGTGTTGAGTTGATTCTGAATAAGAAGGTATTGTAGGTGCAATCTATTTGATGATGGGTAAAATGCCCTTTTATGGTGACAAAAGAAGGAATAGCCAATATCTTTTACATTTTTAACCTTTTTTTTTCTTTTATTATTGTTCTTACCAAAAGTGTGAATTTGCAGATTTCCTCATATTGTTCTTCACAGAAGTTCTCTTCTACTGTGGGGTTGCTTTCTTCCTTCTACTAATAGACCGTATGCACAGACCTGCTAAGATAGTTTCTCCCAAGAGTAGTCAATGGCAGAAGACCCATCTGGGGCAGCGGATCTCTTCTGTTGCTGCCTTAGTACTTAGCTTGATAATTCCTATGGTGACAATGGGCTTTGTCTGGCCATGGACAGGGCCTGCAGCTTCAGCTACTCTTGCACCATATTTGGTTGGGATTGTCGTGCAGTTTGCATTTGAGCAGTATGCCAGATATTTGAAATCACCTTCACGGCCTGTCATTCCTGTTATCTTTCAGGTAAAGACTTCCATGATTTGATCAACTTTTGTCAACACTAGCAATATGTTCTATCTTGTTTATGAACTCCCTCCCTCTTTTTTCACAATATCTGATGTTTTGAATAATTGTTTCATTTGCTAATAGTACTTCTATGAATTGTGTCAACTTTGCAATCATTTACACAGTTGGGCAGTTCACATGGAAATGCCGTCATTATCATCATTGTTGTCTTGATCACATAAATGATTTTCTTTGCTTCTACCTTATTTAAGACCATGTTGTCCCTAAAGTTCTGCTTTGTTCTGATGCTTAGTGAACCCAACTGTTGATTTCTCTCTCTCTCTCTCTCTCATATGAGTGTAGCATGTTTTCTTTTCTTAATTTTTAGAGTTCTTTGATTTCGTGAGTTACACTACAATCTCTTTTTCTTCAAGTGCTTATTGATCTTCTGTAGAGACACTTCATTGGTTTATCCTGTTGGTTAGTAAACTCTGCACTAATCCATCTCATCATTTTTGTCCTGACTAGATTCATTTTTAGATACTACCTGTGTTTTGATGACTTGTTGTAGCTAGCTAACACAAATATTATCAGCCAAAGGTCAAGGTCATCACTTCATTATTGAATAGGATATGATGCTCGACTGTTCTTAATGGATTATGATGATTATAACAATAATAATGCATGTTTGATATTATCAGTGTTGGATTTTTTTGGTTTTAGGGTACCGCTTCTCAAACCTTTCTTGACTTGGGCAAACATAACTTGTCTACCACATTTGCTTAGGGTTTTGTGGTTGGTATTATCATTGTTTATTTACCAGTTTTAATTTGTAAATGTTTTTCTTGAGGTGACATATTTATATGCTTGTTGTGAACTAATACCAAGCAATAACATTTTTTATATTGATTAGTAAATTTGGATTCTTGGACACAGCAACATTTTGGGTTTTCCAAGTTCTCCATATTTCATCCCCTCTGCATGAATTAAGGCAATGTTAGAGTTGTATTATGTATGCCTTTTCCCTATATCGTGATTCCAAAGGAGAGTGCTTATTTTGAAACTTTCAGGTTTATAGATTACACCAGTTAAATAGAGCAGCACAGTTGGTGACAGCTCTGTCCTTCACTGTCAGAGGAGCTGAAACAACTTCACATAACTTGGCTATAAGCAACTCTTTGGGAACATTGATGAATGTTCTTCAATTCCTCGGTGTTATCTGCATCTGGTCACTCTCAAGCTTCATTATGAGGTTCCTCCCTTCAGCTGCCATACCTGAGTGATAAGTATCTCTCAAAAATGTTTGTAGCAACATCCTTGTATTCTACAGAGAAGATCTGTGTTTATTTTCGTTTTACTTGAGGTGCTTTAGAATGGGAATTAGACTGTTGGACCCAGCTGCTGATAAAGATGGCATTGCTAGAGAGAGAGAGACCAAGGACAGAGAACAGAGCTAACTGCCTGCTGTAGTTTCTTAGTTCAAGTAGGAATGAGAGTTGTGATCTTGTGGTTGCAGGGAAGAACATCAACCAATTTAGTGAAGAGCAATTTCATTTTCTGGTGCATTGCTGCATTAGATCACCGAAGTTGAGAATAATTGAGTCCAAGAATGCTCCAACATCCTAAGATGGATGCATAACCTGCATGAAGAAGATGAATTGCTTTAATTGGGCAAATTTGTTTCTATTGCATATTTTCTTATGTAACTCAAAACTGGGGGTGAATCTGGTGATTACCATCTTACGGTTGAGGTGTACTTGTTATGCCTCTTTAGTAATCGTCAAAGCAAATGGACAAATTACTTGGGATTTTTTTGATCAAGATTATTGAGAATTCATTTGAATCAGTTGATTCTGTACATTGCATATCTGATTATTTACTTTCTTTTGTTGATGTTTTGATGAATCGATGGTTATTACTTGTTACTTTAGTGTTTCTCTACGGCAATGATCGGTGACATGCGAGAACTTTCGACTTCAAAATTTGGACTTTTGATTTGATTATGAGCAATATAAATTCAAATAATATAAGTTATTACCATTTGAGAGCAACCTCTTTTTTTGGTCAATAGTCCATCGCACATGCATTTATTTTCAGTTTTCTTGTGTTTTTAGTCCAAGCCTTTGTTTGGCTGACCACCAGGTCTGAGAATTTGTCCTCCGATTTTTAGAACATTGGTCATTCCTTGGTTCATTCAGGTTAACCATGTAAGTCTTTAATTTCTCATTTGGTTGGATTGATTCAAGATTATTGGTCGAATGTTTTGTTGAACATTTTTATCGAGTGATTTTTGACTCAAACAACTTACTGAGGGTGCTTTTTTTTTTTTCCTTTTTTTCGGAGCATTTTTAATGGTACCTAAATGTCTTAAACATGAACAAACAATTATGCATTGGGGTATGTTCATAATGTACGGTGATACCAAATAATCAAACAAAATTTTTTCTTACATTTTGGACTTTTGATAATAACTGCTTTAAGGGGGTGTTCGACATAGGGATGCAACTTGGGCGGGTCCGACTGACCCAATCCAAAATTTTACATGGGCTGGGTTTGTATTTTTGGTCCTTGAAGCCGAGTTTGGGTTTAAGACTTTTGGACTTTTTTATTTGACTGGGTCTGGACCTGCCCTTAGGTAATTAAAACCTAGTCCGATCTTATCTTAATCCATACCCAACCCAATTATACATTTTTAGGAATACTATATGAGAGCCCTCAATTTTTTATTTCAAAAAAAAAAAAACCCAAAAACAGCTGGTTGGTAAAATTTTAATCTTACTTGCACCTGGGTTGGGAGGTTATGGTCTTTTGGGTTGGGGGATGAGTTACCCCCGTTGTATAACCCTTCAAATAAACCACTTCGTTATCGAATACCCCTAATCAAATTCTTTATTATCCGGAAACCCAAGTCTTGGAGTTTCAGGGTACATTTGGGTAATAGTAATATTATTTATCAAGCAAACTGATTTGGGTACCATCCCATTTTTGTTATTGGGAAGCCCATGCTCACACTGTTCCAACAGCCTTGTAACATTACATTGAGAATATCTTCTCACCAAATAAAGCACACAAATACAGAAATATTTTCAATGTAAGGCATGTAAGGCTGTAAAGGTTATTCGAACAGGCTTTATCCCTTCAATGGTATAGATTTGCCTCCGGTTTTTTATCAGAGAGTGGATGGTATGTTCTGAAGCATTATAAACATGATGGAGACTTATGCCACAAGTAGGGGTGTTTACGGGTTGGGTTAGATTGGTTTGAGTCATTTTTTTCAATCGACTCGATTCAGTTGGTTTATTCATTGATTAAACCAAAACCGATTGACCCTGAAGCAATCGGTTTGGGTAGGTTTGTCGGTTTAGTTGATTTTGTATATATTTTAAACTAAAATATCTATTTATATTTAAGTTTATTTCTTTTTAGTTTTTATACAAAACCAAAATATATATTTAAATCAATTAATTTTTTATGTAAAACTAATTTTTTTATTAATATATATTTAAATTTATACAAAACTTAATTAAATATTGTACCATTATATTATATTTGTATTGGTTTTATGTTTATAGTTTTTATCATAAATAACCAATTTTTTTAAAGTTCAAACAAAACACAAATAAAATATATCAATATTTAACATATAAGGTAGGGACTAATTAATAATTACTTAAAAATATAGGACCGGTCAGTTTTCATACATGAATCCTTCTTCCTACTGTGGAGTCTTTGTTGCTGTTGAAAAGACAATGGGCATTTGTTTTGCTGGAAATACGTACGGATTCATGTCCATTTATTTCTACTTCAGAAGTTGTTCGTTTGTACATAATTTTCTATTTTTTTTAATTTTTTGTTTTTTTTTTGAATTTGAAAATCCAGATTCCTTGGTGACAAATTTGATCGACATTGGAACCATTTGGAGAGATCAATCCTACGATACAAAGCTTTAGAAATCTCTCAGTTTATAGTATTTGGAATTTTCCACCCTCAACGATATTTAGCACTGAGTTAAGTTTGACCGAGGAATACCAGGGAGTTAATGATAACTGTTTTTCACCGGCGACTGTTATTGATCGGCATAACACCGGTTATTTATTTTAGTACCCATTTAAAAAAGGGTAAAATGGGTATTTTAAAAAAATTATGTACCGGTTAACGTTTTCCGTTTGGATAAATGACGGAAGAGAGATTTTAGTTAAATTTTTTAAAAATTTAAAAGAGGTTTTTATTAAAATAAAACTACAGAGAGGATGAACAAAATTACAAGTACCTATCGGAAAATTTCCCTAAAATTTTAAGAGAGGAGAATGAATAAAAGCACAGTCGCACTCAGACTCAGTAGACTTGAGGTTGGTCTGGCATGAAAATCGCCGGACATCCCACTTTAAGCTATCTCCCATTTTTTCACAGGCATCGTCAAACATGGCCGAGATGCCCTTCAATTTCTCCTCAACCTTTGTCCGGTTTGTCGTCAAATACCCTAACTACCTCCTCTCTCACCAAAAGAGTCGTTGGAAGTCTCATTTCCATCAATCCAAAAACAGCTTTCCAAGCTTATTTAGAGACTTGTGTCTCTCTGTTGAAGAACTTTTCCAATCAAGGCCTGGCCAGAGAAGGGAGAATCCTTCATGCGCATCTGCTCAAAATGGGTGTCTCATCAAATAGATATATAGCCATCAAGCTCTTAATCATGTACTTGAATTGCAAGAAAACTCTTGACGTTGATAGAATCTTAAAAGAACTTGGAGAGTTTGATATTGTGGCATGGAACTGCATGATTTCGGCTCATATTGAGAACGGAAATTTGGAAGGAGCTCGTCGTTTGTTTGATGAAATGCCCAAAAGAAATGAAGTCTCCTGGACAGCGTTGATTGCAGGTTTCATGAAATTTGGAAGAGTGGATGATTCAATGTGGTATTTTGAGAGGAATCCATTCCAGAATGTGGTATCCTGGACTGCTGCAATTAGCGGGTTTGTTCAAAACGGCTTAAATTTTGATGCCTTAAAACTTTTTCAGGAAATGCTTGAAAGTGGAATCCTGCCAAATGAGGTGACTTTCACATCTCTCGTTAGAGCTTGTACAAGCTTAGGTGATACAGGATTAGGCAGGAGTGTTTTTGGACTGATTGTCAAAACTGGCTTTGAACACAATATATCGGTTTGTAACTCCTTAATCACGTTGCACCTTAGGATGGGTGAGGTTGATTTGGCAAGGATGGTTTTTGATCAGATGGAGGAGAGAGATGTTGTTTCTTGGACTGCAAGCATCGACTTGTACATTAAGACAGGCGACTTGATGGAAGCTCGTCGGATCTTTGATGAGATGCCCGAGAGAAATGAAGTTTCTTGGAGTATGATGATTGCAAGATATAATCAGAGTGGTGAGGCAGAAGAAGCATCGAAACTCTTTAAACGAATGGTTCATAATGGGTTTAAACCAAATATCTCTTGTCTCTCCAGCATTCTTAGTGCATTGGCCAGCCTTGAGGCTTTGCTACCAGGGAAAAGCATTCATGGACATGCCATAAAAGTTGGGATTGAGAAGGATGTTTTCATTGGGAGCACTCTAATTGACATGTATTGCAAATGCGGACAGACTTTAGATGGACGCCAAGCCTTTGACTCAATTTCTGATAGAAATTTAGTTTCTTGGAATTCAATGGTTGCCGGTTATAGCCTGAATGGCCAATTAGAAGAGGCAAAGGAGTTGTTTGAGCAGATACCCAAGAGGAACATTGTCTCTTGGAACACAATTGTTGCAGGGTATGTTCAAAATGAACACTGTGAACATGTATTGGAGGTCTTCAATGAGATGCTTTTATCTGGAGAAATTCCCAACCAATCAACCTTCTCAAGTGTCCTACGAGCTTGTGCAAGTTTGGCCTCGATAGAGAAAGGCAGGAACCTCCATGGGAAGATCATTAAACTCGGGATTCAGCAGGATGTGTTTGTGGGGACTGCACTTACTGACATGTATGCTAAATCTGGAGACATTGTGAGCTCTAAGAGCGTCTTCAATAGGATGCCTGAAAAGAATGAGATCTCTTGGGCTGCAATGATTCAAGGGCTTGCAGATAATGGTTTTGCAGAGGATTCTCTTATCCTGTTTGAGGAAATGAAAAGATCAGCACGTGTTGCTCCTACAGAGCTTGTCTTTTTAGCTGTTCTTTTTGCTTGTGCCCATTGTGGGTTGGTTGACAAAGGGTTTCAGTACTTCGAGTCAATGGAGAGGATTTATGGTATAAAGCCAAGGGGTAGACACTACACTTGCATGGTGGATATGCTGGCTCGATCAGGGCGCCTTAGTGAGGCTGAGAAGTTCATTGAAGCAATGCCTTTTCAGCCTGAAGCTAATGCATGGGCAGCTCTATTAAGTGGATGTAGTATTTATAAGAATGAGGATATGGCGGAAAGGACTGCTAGGAAGCTTTGGGAATTGATGGAGGAAAACTCTGCTGGTTACATCTTGCTTTCAAATATCTATGCATCAGTTGGGAGATGGAATGATGTTTCAAAAGTAAGGAAGTTGATGAGAGAGAAGGGATTAAAGAAGATTGGGGGGTGTAGTTGGGTTGAGGTTAGAAATCAAGTCCATTCTTTCTATTGTGAGGATGGATGCCACACACAATCAGCTGAGATTTATGGTATTTTAGAACTTTTGATGTCTGAAATGATGGTTTTCCAGAACTTGCAGAGTTAATGATCTGAGTAGTGGTTTTGAAGTTGTTACTTGAGAATAATTTCAAACATTGTTGCGGGTTGTAGATTAAAAAAGACCATTACTCAATGTTGGTCCTAGCTATTTAGGATCTTGGGAGGGGTAGGCTGGATGCGGTCCTAGCTTTTTTTTTTCCTCGCACAAAATGGCTTCCCTCAGAATTGAACCCATGTTCTGATGCTTACCCAGTCTGAGATTTTCCCATTACACCAAGTAATGGCCCCTCATTGTTGCGAGTTGTAAATATCACCGATGAACTATGGAAATTCCTGGAAGTCTGGCAGTTATCATTTGTTAAATTTACAGTCACTTGATGCTTTAGGCAATGCAGCATTGGAGCTCTTAGAGACGGTTCTTTTTGGGAATTCTAAGGAAATCCAAGTGAAAGTGATGCTTATGGTCTTTCCTGTTGAAGAGGTTTCTTTTGTTACATTCTGCTTGTATCTAGAAGCTAGCATACACAAGTTGATAAAAGAATAATATTCTTCTTGGAAGAGATACTCAGTATAAACAGTAGGAAGAAGGATGACTCAGTTACAGTAAACAATCTTATTTACTTAAAGATGCCCGACTTTATTTTTGAAGTTCTATTTGTAATTTTGTATTATAACAGAATCATATTATACTAGCAAATTGAATCTTTATTCAGTCATGTGTATCTTACTCTACCTCTAGCTTTTCTTCCTAACTTCATTTACTGTTTCAAATTCAAGTTGAACTGTGGATTTAAACAAGAATTCTTAATTACATGTGGTTTCCAAATGCCCCATGAAGAAAGTCTTGTAATGCCTTTCTTTGTAATGGGGTAGCCGAGGCTACCCAATCCTTTTCTTCTGTTAATAAAATCTATCCTTGGTACTGATAAAAAAATGCTCCATGAAGAAAGATTTCTACTTCTGAATGCTTGTATATGTGTGCTTTTTTGGGTAATCTGTTTGTGTCAAACGTGTATAAATTTGGACTTCCATGCAATATGAAATCTTTGCAATACCATGCATATATGACACTGAAACTTTCAGGCAGCCTCACATCAATGTAACCACCAATATCTTTTGCAAAACCCGATTGATATTTTTTCCATTTTGTTGATTCATTGGCAGTAAACGTGCTTCTCCATTAGTTTGTTTTATACAAATATGCTTATGTTAAGCATAGTATCATTATCACATCCCATACCTTTGAAAAGCCTTGGAAGATATATACACGAGTAGAAGGATATCTTTGATGTGATCTTTTGGTTCCTGTAGTCTAATGAAAAAAAAAAAAAGCTTTGAATAACCTGCACTAAGAAAACAAAAATTTCTGGTCAAGCTTATATTGTATAAAAAATCAATATTGGTCCCAGCTGCTATCTGGATAACAATATATTATTTTAGCTAATTATTCTGCATTGCATTAATGAAAACAATCAATATTTAAATAACAAATTCACGGGCATTCGCTACTTAACAAATATTAATTTTAAAAATCTTTTCCTAGCTAGCCAGTTTGATATAAATAGAGCTTCCTAGTTTTGCTTAAAGAATATTAACTCTCACAAATCTATCCACGTCTCAAGCCAACAAGAAGATTGGTCTAAGTTCTTGGTCCGGCAACATAAACAGTCTGAACAAAAACTGGTCTGGTCTTATTTCCATCACAATGATCACATATAAGTTTTTCTCGTCTTCATATTTATGCTCGAAGCAAATCATATTCATAGCTCGTTTAAGTGGTAAGTCCTCCCGCCTTACAAATTACAATAGCCTGCTACTCGTTCCTTTTCGTCCTTTTCTACATTATTGACTATACCAGACGTTAGATTATTGGTCATCGATCCCTTGTCTCATTCCATAAATCGACATATATCGGGTCCATCTGTTCTGCATTGAACCAGATTAAACTAAAAAGAAGTTGGTCCACTACTGACCGACAAATCGGCTTTTAAAAGAAAAGGAACAGAAGCTGGAGACTATGAGAGAGAGAGAGAGAGTAGCTAGTGAAGGCCTTTTCTCATGTTGGAGAGTTATTTTTTTGTTGGCTTAAGAAGGGTTTCTCAACGTCACTGATGAGAGGTAATTTGGTCCTTCAATGATATCACGACACGTGGTATTGTAGAAAAGTAGAGTAACATCTCGACACCATGTAAGCAGACCCCAAGAGCACTTTAGACACTTCACAATTACCCTGACGACCTCAGCACCACTCCAGTAGGCCAAAATGTGAACAACTAGGCAAGATCTCAGGTTGGCGTAAGAAGCAACCTGCTTCCATTGATCTGACTTGACTCCGGTTAACGACCTGCTTGACGTGTTGAGTGACCTTTCCCTTAAGCGGGCTATTGCCTTCAAATTCCTTGGGATCACGATGCTATGTTGGAAGATCCGATTATCACCTCGCTCGCTTTGACGGGATTGGATAAACGTTGCTTGCTTACGTGGAGTTCACCTCCAGGCGTGAAACCACCTCCGAACTAGACGGCCCAAAGATCTTAGACGCGTTTCATGAGGTTCATAACAGCTCGCCTATATAAAGTCCTCACCTCTAACTCCACAAAGTACGCATGATTTAGCTTTCGCAATTCTCTAGCTCTCTTGCTTCCTTGCAAACAATTACTAGCTCGCTAACTTAAGTATTGTAGTGCCCTCCCTGGGTCAAGCTACCTGGACACTTTGATGATCACTTTCTTGCAACTCAACCAAATGACCTACTCAGTTAGATGTTTAAACTATTTGCCAACAGGAAACACCAAATCGCACATCATCAATGACCAATAATGGTATAAGAGTTTGTTGCACCAATATTGATCCAAAACCCACTTTTCTCCATTCTCAAATGCTCAACTTTTCCTTTTACCGAACAACATCATCATCATCATCCTCATCGTCATCATCAACAACAACCATAATCAATACTAGTATATAAACATAGAGAAATAAATAAAGAACGCACAATGGTTAATTAATCCATATTTGATAATTATATATAGTTGGAACCCACCAATACAGACTCTGTCCCAGTTCATAGAGACGCGTACATTGTGGATGTCCATCGTAATAACATGGCTAGAACTAGAAGTTCAGGATATGTGAGCTCGGTGGGACTGTTTCATGGCTTGATGATATGGGTCAGCCAGTGGTCCGTACTTGGGCACTGCAGCCTCTAGGATTGCAATTTGCAACTTTGCAAGTAAGCTCTTTTGCGGTTGTCAACTTGAATACTATACTCGTAATTATATATATTGAAGGCTGCCCACAATCTCTCTCTCTCTCTCTCTCTCTTCTAGACTTGGATATATTTGCAATATAAAAATTGTTATAGAAGGAGTGAATTGTATTCTTTATATTTATTTACCCTGTAGAAATAAGATGAGCATGTACCGGAAAGCTTGAGAATAGGGGATTGAGTGGATATCTGATGTGGTTTCCGGTGCCTTTTGAGTCATATATACCGACTACAATTGCATCGCAGATCAGAAGACTTCCCCTTCTGCAAAAGGTCCCAACAATGGCAAGTTGTAATTAAAATCTTTAACTTTAAGATATAATAAGAAATTATCATATTTCGGTCCCTTGCCTTTCCACCTTTTAATTTGTTACTTGAATATTAATTGTCCTCAGCCAATTAAGGCTTTTGTGAATAAATTTATATAACAGAAAGTCAAAGAAGGGTTGTCTCAAGGTTTTGACCTCATCAACATATTCTTGTGGAGCGAAGTTAAAAAGAAAAACAAAGAGTGCAAATGAAAAAAAAAAAAAAATTGTTGTTTGGCATTTTTTGTATATTCTGCGTTTATGGAAGATCTCTTCAAAATTCATTGCTTTCAATTCAACTGTGAGAAGAAGCTAGTATATACAGAGATTCCTGATTTGATTTCTGCTGCTTAATCCTAATTACCCAATTCTTCAAAAGGCCGTGCTTTTATTTTAATCAAACCTGGATATTGCTAGATCGGAACTTTTTTAATAATTGCTTTCGATTTTCAGAAAAGGATCAGTAAGGAAATAGAAAATGCTCGATCATATGCTGTCTCTGAATAATGAAATTAAAACTGAACTGAATTACAACACCCCACATAACTAAACCATCGCCTTGCTACAATGGTGGAAATTGCAGAAGGGAAGCATGCATAACTACAACGAACTAGCTAGCTAGAGCTTAGCAACTGAACTCATGTGATCTTGTAGCTGGTCGCTTGGCCAAACCTCTCCCTCCCTGCAAGCAATAATCTATGCTCGACGGAACAAGGGGAGCTTGTGACTTCCCGTAAGAATTCCAACACAGTGCCTGCTGTTGAAAACCTCTAGAACTCGGCGATTGCTCCAACTGGATGTCGACAAGATCAACATCGGTGCAAGGGACTCTGTTGCTGCAGGCGAGATGGATGGGTTGCACCGAGTAAGTTCCGGTGATCTGGTTATACTTGACGCCGGATATGGCCACCGCTTCCGTCTGGTTCCGGCATGATTTCTTGTCACAGTAATACTGGTCGATCGCTATTGGGACCTTCACGTCGGAGACTTGAACGTTGGAAAAAGATAAATTTTTTACGGACCCAATCCCTCCCTGCAACGGATTTGACCAAAACTTAGTTTAGACTATTACTCTCAAATGTCTCAGATGAGTAATAATGCCAGCTTAAGATAGCTCTGAGAATTTTCAACCTGCCATGTTTTGATTCTAACTCCATACAGAGTGTTTTGAATGTTGATATTCTCAACAACGATGCTGGAAACACATGCTACACTTCTGTCTTTCCCTAGCCCTCCTACGCTGTGATTTGGAAGAAATTATGAGGAAGCAAGACAGACGAGAAACAAGATCAAGAATAACGAAATTAATATATATATATATATATATATATATCATTTAGCTGTAAAATTATTAAATCCTTAGCTTGCTACGTTATTAATTTATTTAATTTTAATTTCAATTTATTACCTAATGCCATGGCCGGGGCCACAGTTACTGTGATGGATGTGAATATTAGAACACCCTGTTTGTATGGATACACAGTCATCTCCTGTAAAATTACAACAAAAGAAAAACAGAAATCAAGATTTGATTAACTTGACAGCCCCCGTGTTTTTGCTTAACAAATAAACTCGGTTAGTTAGCTTGAGACACATAAGATCAATTAGGACCATTTGATTTTGGCTCAAGTGGCTGAACTGAATGACTTATTGTTCTGTCCTTCAGTGAATAAGTCAATAAGTCGTTGTGAGCTTCATTGTTTGATTAATATAAGCTAGTCATTTTACTTTATGACTATTTTATCCACAAAAAGACGAAGAAATATCATTTTATTTTTCAGTAAAACCACTTTAGGCTTTCTTGAACGCAACGCCGGTCGCCTTTTGATAACTTGAATCTGCAGTACAGTGAGCTCTGACGAGAATACAATGCAGAAGCCCCTAAGAAACTGCCACGTGTACAGAAGTGGGTCCAGTCAGTTTCTTAGTCCATGGTGAGCGTTAAACTCGTTACCAACTTATGCGGCTCAAAATATTATCAAGTACCAACTTCTGTAGGCAATGGACACAGGACTCACGCATGCATTGATCCTGAAGTAAAGGAACCCCAAGAACCTTCCGACCTTCGGAATCAAGAAAAAGAACTTTTATGTTTATGGAAAGATCAGAAATAATCAAAGAATTAATTACCACACCCAATATTGGAATGTTGAATTTCGACATCTCGCGTATTCTGTAGGTGAATGCCGTCGGTGTTTGGGCTGGTTTCCGGCGAAGAAATTGTAATGTTGTTGATCTTGACCCTGCCGGAACTGTCGAATTTTAGATGGCACTGAGGACTGTTTACAATGGTTATGTCACGAACAGTAACATCGTAACTTGCATAGAACCTCAGAGCCTGAAAAAAAACCCAGAAACTCTGTTATATAACTTAATTTGATCCTTTGAAGATAAGAAAATATGATCTAAATGGGTTCCAAGGAGACATTCTAAACTTGAAAGCCAAAAGATTGAGTGGGGAGGAGGACTTCTTATTCTTACAGTTGGTTTTATATCTGGAATATATTTGGATCTCTTCTGCAAAAAGAAAAAGATGAACAGAAAACTGGTGTTATTCTTGTTTTAATTTTCTACGTTGTTGATGCCAGTGGAGGAAGTTGTGTTTGCTAACCTGAATGTAGTTGACTTGGGAGAGACTCCACCAAGCTGAACCTTGGCCATCAACAGTTCCAGTTCCTTGGATTGTGAAGTTGTGTACCCACTTGAAGTTTATCCATTGAAATAAACTGGATTTTGACCAGGCACTTATCTGTGGAGGAGCTAAGAGAGTCCCATCTATCTGTATTAATTCCAAACAGGTCAGATTCCTCTGTTTCTCTTTTGTCTTGTTTAGTTGTTTAGCTTTCCTAGGGGGGAGATAGAGAATGGATAATAAATAAAGGAAACGTAGAGCAGAGCACATTAATTATTTTCCATTTCCCAAGGTTGGATAGGTTGAAGAAAGAATGAAAGATAGAATGCAGACCTGAAGTACAAGATGAGGCATGCAAGGGCCTTGAAGTGTTATTGGTCTGATGAGAAACCTGAATTCTGATGGAATTTCTACTGTGGCAGATGGAACCCTGCATGCAGCTTTCCATGCAGCTTGAAATGCCTGTATTAGAGAGATCACCATACACATGTTAGAACTTAGAAGTAGTTAGAACTCTCTCTCTCTCTCTCTGTCTCTCACCTTGGAATCATCGGAAATTCCATCACCCTTGGCTCCAAATGACAGAATGTCAAAAATGGTTGAGTGGCTCGGATAAGAACCGTAGTAAGGAGCTGGGGCAGGTGCAGGGCCTGGAGCATTGCCACTGTTGTCACTTCTTCTTCTTTGTTTCTGATTCTTGGGACTTCTGCTCTTCATTCTGTGGTTCTTCCTAGCCTCAACTGAAATTGTAGAAAAAGCAATGAATATCATGATCAGGAAAACCAGCAAAAAGAGGAGGGATCTGTTCTTGCTTTTCTTCATTTCTTCAGCCTTCTCTCCTAACAGAGATCATCAACTGTTCTTTGATGAACTTCAGGAGAAATTAACTCTGCCTGGGACAGTGGGAATGAAGAAGGTAGCTAAATGCAGTTTATATATAGAGAGTAAGAGATTGCACAAATAGGGAGGCCGTGGTTTTGAATTGCAAGTACAGGCGTCATTAAGAGTGTTCAAGAGTTCTAATTACAAAATCACCCCTGCATTTCAAAATTTAGTTTTCTGAACTCTGGAATTTGGATAAAACTCTTTCTGCAAATGAGAAGCAAGCTTGACTTCAACCAGTCAAGTATTAACTTAACCATTATCATCATCATAAATTCATACCCATCAGAAAAAAAGGGAAACCATCATCATGATGCATGAAAAATGCTGTCTGAGTCATGGATGATCGATCTCAGCCACTCAAATCTCTGTGCAAGATTTTCTAGCTAGGGGGTAATGGACATGGCTGAAGATCATGTGATCAGTGGGGTGCAGTGAGTTGGCATGAAAGCACCTATGGAGTTTATTATAACATTAGTCGTACCAGAACGTTGGAATATAAGAACTTAAGAAGAGAGTCCGAACAAGGAAAGCAAATTATTAATTATGGTGTATGATTAGCTAATGAAGATTAGGTCACTCTGAGCTTGTCTTGTTTCAACTTTCAGTTGCATGCTATAGTGGATTAAGAGGATAGATGGCATGCATTAGATTAATTAGCTTAGTGGGGAATAAGGAAAAAAGGGAAAGCCCCCTTTTTAACCTTTAAAACTCATAAAGTGTAACACTTGAAGCATGAAGGGATCTTACTGAGAGTGAGAGGAATTTAGTTCCCAAGTAGAAATAAGAAAAGAGAAAAAGAGGAACGAAAGTGCCCACGTCAGCAACATTTGTTAGGCATCTAATTGTGCACACCCAAAAAGTAGGGATCTAATTTGGCTGGCTACTCTGCTCCTAGTGGAATATACTACAATGCCCCCAGTGGATTTTGAAATTAATTAGGAATCATAATGAAATATCAGAAATCAGAATGCTCAAAATGGCATATACCCAGTAATTAGGATCCCAAATCTATTGTGAAACAACTGGAAGAAATAGAAAGATAGATATACTCTATTCAGTCATAATTGTGAAGGCATCTATTTCAAAAAATCTATTGTGAAACAATTGAACATAGAACCTACTATGGAAAATTAGTGTGTTAGAATCCATATTCTTTGTTATTTTTGGTATTTTGGTGCGGTTTTAGCTGATTAATTTGCATTCGGTTTGATTCCTTTCCTGGGGATGTCTGATTGACCAACTCAACTAGGATTGGATTGAATCTGGATAATGTAATGCTTTTCTTGTTAGTTTATTTTACAAAGCACAAACCTGCAAGCTAGCTAACGAATGGCTAATGGGTCTTATTATAATCAACCCACATTTAACCTGATCCGACCCACTGCTACCATTGTCTTAGGATGCTTAGTATTTGAGTTGCATTAATTACTTTCCTGGCAAATGAAAAAAAGAGAAAGGGGTGGGGGCATTATGGACCTTTGAGTTTAGGAGAGAGGGTAGTTTTTTTAGTTAGATGAGGAGTGAGGACCTCCGTAGTGAGACAGAACCTTCTTAAGGCACCTTTTAGAAGTGGTGGTTAACATGTTCATGACATGGAAGATGAGATAGGGGAATGGGGCGGTTTGCTCCCCCGAATTCCCTCGCTTTTTGGGCAACAAAATATTGTTGGGCTGTTTGTCTTCTTCAATCACGTGGTGGGCCATACGTGGGAGGGGTCGGTGCACAAATGATTTATGCGCAGGTAAGGGTGTCATAATGAACTGGTTTTGGATTGGACCACATCCAAAATCAATTTGGACCAATTAGGCGGACCAACAAGATTTATTGGATTGGATCAATCCGGTCCAAAATATTTATTAGATTGGATTGGACCTGATTCGTTTATAATTAATTTATGTTGGATTGCATTAACTCAATACCTAGTCCATTATATGTGTTGATAGATCAGGTTTGGGTTGAATAAATTATAATGAATTTGAATAGATTGAACGTCCAAACATTAAATTGGATTGGTCTAAATTGATTTAAAACATTTTTTGGATTAGATTAGACCTAATCCATTTATAATGGATTCATATTAGACTAGATCGGATTAGACCAAGTCCAGTCCAATTGACACCCCAGTGCACCGGTATCATTGCTGAAGTTTCAAACCCACAGTTCGCCAGTTTTGGTGGTTGGCTTTCGAACCACTGATTGCAATAAAAATGTTCTCGTTGGGAGCAATAATTGACAAAAGTATCAGGGGTTCAAAACCAGTCATATCCATTAGGCATCTAACCACTCTAAGCTAACCAATTCATTACCAATTAGTTGGTATTTTCATTTAAAATAAAAAACAATTGGTAACGTTTCAAAGAAATGTTTTTGTTTTCCTTTTCTACCCATGAAGGAAAGAGCGGATTACTTTCTGACTTGCTGTGACAGATTCTTGGGGAGGGAGGGGGGTTATAGTTATAGGGACAGAGAGCTTCAAGTACAATAAAGTTTGGTCCATAAGTTCACAAGTCTAATCGAACTTTATGTTATATATTCAAATAGAGTTGAATTTGAGTTTATGTTTCTAGTTGGAATCTAACTAGAAAACGAATTTAAATAGCCATAGATTTGTTGGCTGGACTCATATCCACCCACCATTGGATAGTATCATAGTATCACTTCCATAAATGGGCACTGGGCCGATGGCCAGGCCCATTGTGCTTGACTATGTCATAGATTAATAAACCTTCGTGACTAGGGTACCCACTAAATCTGCAACTTAGTTATGTAGTATAAACTTAATGGCTTAACTCTCATCTTGTTGGTAGGTAGTTGTCATTTTTTTGTAGGAAAATTTCACTTTAGTATCCCGAATTTTAGGGTAGTACCAAGTTAGTACCCAAACTTTCAAACGTATTACTATAGTATTTAAATTTTCAAAAAGTGTTAAATTGGTCCCTGTCATTAATTGATCGTCAGTTATTTGTTGAAAATGTCAAAACTATTCTTCAAAAGAAGATACTGTTCATTGTCTTCTACCTTGAGACTAAACTGGTTGAAGTGTTTGAGATTATAGAGTAATGAAGTCATTGTCTTCTACCTTTAGATATGAAAGACATTATTGTCTAGTTATTTCTTTGCTTTTAGTTATTGTTTTCCTTTATCATATATTCATATTTCATGTTTTTTTTTCTCTTTTTCTTTAAAGATAACTGGTTTAGTCTCAAGGTAGAAGACAATGAATAGTATCTTCTTTTGAAGGATAGTTTTGACATTTTCAACAGATAATTAATAGTCAATTAACGACAAGGACCAACTTAACACCTTTTAAAAGTTTAAGTACTGTAGTGACATGTTTAAAAGTCCAGGTACTAACTTAACACTACCCCAAAATTTTTAAGGTATTAAAGGAGAATTTTCCCTTTTTTTAATATAATAGATATATAATGGAAATCATGGAACTGCTAACAACATACAAAAAAAAGGTAAAGTTTCATACTTTCATTGTTTTTGCGTGGCCATGATGGATGAATTGGCATATGCTGCAACCATGGTTATAGCATTTTCTACGAGCACCCAACTAAATAGGGACGGGCTAGCAATCCAACTAACAGCAGATCACACGTGTTTTGAATATTCTGCAACCATAGTCGCACCAAATTTGAGCTGTGATGAAGGATGGAATGTTCTGAAAGGACATCGGCTTCAATCAGTGCAAGACCCATTCAGCCTTTACAGCCTTGCATTGGAAATATCTCTGTACTTCTGTGTTTTATTTCATGGGGAGATATTCCCAATGCAAGGCTATAAAAGATGTTAGAATGGACCTTGCACTGATTAAATCTGTTTTTTTCTAAAACGTCAACTGTTCAGTGAGCTGTAAAGAAGGATTCAAGGAATTTATATTGCATGTCCCACAGCATATCTCAAACGTGTATTGGGAACATCTCTCAATGACAACTTCCCAATGCACGCTGAGATGTGCATGTGGGGTGTAAATGTGAGCTCAGATTGAAGACTTAAAGTCACATGAAGGGATAATTCAAATATTTTTCTTCACTTAAGGCTGCATTTGTTTGAGGTGTAAATTCAAATTTTACACCATGGAAAAAATGAACCGATTTAGTGATGGGTGGAAATTAAAACTGGTTCATTTTAAAAATTTATGCCTACCTTGTTTGGTTGTCAAGGTGTAGATTTGGTGATGATCTACAGAGGAAAAGGGAAGTAGGGGAAGAAGAAGAAAAAAAAGGAGGAAGAGAAGAGAGAACAAAGAGAGACAAATCTTCCACTGTGTCTCACCTCTCTGTTGACCTCTTCGGAGATATACCATTTCATATCGGAAGAGAGACAGATCTATCATTACTTACCGGACGCGTTCTCTTGACCTCTTCGTTGTGTCTCACCTCGCCACCAAACCAAAACCCGAAACAAGCCCTAAAGCATGGTATCCACCATGAACGGCAAATCTCACACCTTATCTAGGAAAGTCTTATCCTCTTCCAGGTGGATAAGTTACTTTCTCACTTTAGAGGAAAGTGTGATAAAATTTAGCGAGATAAAAATGCCCATTAAAACAAAAAAGATACAAGGATAAAAATAGAAGCAAGAAAAATTTATCTGTGCAGAAAACAACACTACGGGTGGAACTTGGATTTAGTCCTCACAAAACGGTTCTCATAGTTACTTCAAACGTGTATTAGGATGACACAGGACAGAAATCGTGATTGATCTTGATATTGAGCAAGCTACATGTTGATAAGAAAAGATCTAGAATCCACTAGGTTGAAACTTTGGTAATACACCAGAAAATAAGAGAAACTCTCTAAAGAAATTGAATTTGAAATTCACTGTAAATAAACAAAGGCTTAGGGTCCTTTTTATAGGTCCTCATTACAAACTTACTAAACTAATAAACAAATAGGAAATGAGACTTCTACACCTTTCCAAACTAATTTAAAAGAAAACAAACAAATAAGAACTCTACTAAGACTAAGAAAGTTATGAGTATTTTCGTAGGACTATGCGTTTTCATCCTTTCGTTCCATTTTGGGCAATTTCTTCCTATCCAATTACTCCATGTATTTATTTGTAACATGCTCTACATCATGGGAATATCTCCATACTTATGTTTTGATTTATTGGGAGATATTCCCGATGCACAGTTGCAAGTGGTTGTGAGTATAATATGTGTTTGGTTCCATGGGCGTTTATGAATAGGGTGCTTATTTGCACTTTTTCACTTTAAACATTTATTTATACTTTTTTATTTTAAACGTTTCCTGTTTTTGTTGTTTGGTTGAACCTCACTTTAAACGTTTTTTACTCTCCACCTCAGATTGATACCCATTAAAGTATGTTGCATTTGCATTTGGTTTCAAGAAACACTGGGGCATTGGGGGAAACAAAAATTTGACCTTTCCCCAAATGCCCCATGCACAAAAATCAAATCATTTCAGTTTTCTACCATTTATTTGATAAAGGGTGAAACTAAACAATTGTTTCATTTTGCTTCACCTGCAATAAAATGCCAATGCCTATATGGTGCTTATATTTTAACGTTTTTTCAATAAATGCCAACGGAACCAAACACTCACATAATGTGAATACCATTTTCTAAGGACTGAATCCGATCTCCGAAACTCATAAAAATCCAAAAAACCAAAAAATCAAATCAAACAAAAAATTTGGTTAATTGAACCGGTTATATTATATTTATAAATATCTATTTATTTATAATACATATATTATTGATGGAGGATGATTTGACCCAACCTACTGAGACGATGACACGTGGATCTGACTCAGCGCGAGCAACAACTCAGCGTCATGACCTGACCACAACTAAGTACGAGTCTGTAGAGCAGCTCGCTGCGTCATAGCTCGCTATAGGGGAAGCTCGCTACAACGCGAGCTCCGGGTCCCCCGAGCTGCTCACAGGCTGCGAAGGGAATACTCCAAGGCTATTTCAGCTCACGAGCTAGGGAAACTAGCTCGCTCTAGCACTTGGGCAGAAAAACTGCTCCGAAGACCAACTTTGATAAGGGTCACCCCGAAGTATCCCTAAGAGTTTGCTGCAAAGTAGCTCGTTAAGTAACAGGATAGCTCGCGGCTAAGCAATGCTATGCCCTCAGGAAGCTTCTATCTAACAAGACCGTACTCATCAGACTGCGCCACATCTCTCGACTGACGGCGCAGCCCCTGCCCATTTGACAGTTTGCCCCACGTCTCTCAACAGATGGTGGCATGCCTGTCACTTCAAAGACGTGTCACTCAGCCAAGTGGGTAGTACATTGTAACGATCACCTGCGCAGCCCTGGCAGGTAACGGCTGCGACAGGAGCCCAATGGCGGTTATGCCTGATTTGACAAGAATGCCCCTATAAAAGCCCTTTAAACGGAGAGAAAGACTCTCTCTCGAATTAGATCTGAACTTGGACCCTTACTTGCTCATGAGCTAATCTCGAGACATAGTGATCTACCACGACCTACACTCTTAGCCTTTTACACTCTTTTCTTCCTCCCCAGCGTTCTAACTTAAGCTTCGGAGTATTCCCGCCAGACAAATCCCCCGGGGATCCTTCATCTTCCTCTTCTCAGGTGTCGTTCGTTACCAACAAGGAGCTAGTCAGCAGCCAACTGGGAGTGCCCGCATCAATTATAAAAACCAAAAAACCAAATTAATCAAAAACTAAAACTGATCAATGGATTGATTCAATTTGGGGATTCGCAAAAACTGGCAATACCGGTTTAGTTTCAAAAAATACCTTACGATTTGGTCACACCCCTAACAACACAGGTAATGGTGCCTAAATAGTAAATGGATTAATGGTCTTACTTCCCATCAGGATCGTAGATTTCAGCCTCTGGACTTGGCTGGGCTAGTGGACTTACGGGGCCTCAATCGTAACAAATTCATACAGCACTCTTCTATATTAAATATGTTGACACTGCATCGGTTCTACATGCAATATCTAATGGAACAAAACTCAGCTGACCAAATTATCTCAACTACAGATTTATACTGTAATCGCCCATGATTTTGACTGGTTCAGCAGTGATACCAATATGAATGACATCTTAACTAGATTAATAAAATTAACAAAAATGTGAATGACTTAACCGGTTAGAATGTTTCATCGTTCAACTGTAGTTTTCAATTCTGTTTCTCACCGAAGCCAATGATTTTAATCAAGAAAAGGGGCTACAAGTTCCCAAATATCAGAATAAGAAATAAATCTTAAAGAACTGGGAAAAGAGGATGAGCAAAATTAATAAGCCAATCAGCTACACGATTACCTTTCCAATAGGTGTGACAATAAACGACCTCGCCATCAATCCTCTTGATGAGAGACCTGCAATCTTTGATGATCATTCTTAATCTCTATTGTGGGTCCATGCGGTTCTTCAAACTGTCAGTAACCAATTTAGAGATTATCGACGAAAAAGGGTTCAGTTTCTGTGTTTGTACTGGCTAATTCATTTAATTTTTAAAACCTTTTACTAAGGGTGCTCATCAAAAACTAAAAAATCAAAGCCAAATTGATGAATTTTGATTAATTAATAGGGAAATTCCCTATTAGTATTATGTATTTTGGACTTAGTGTCACTTTGGTCCCAAAACTTTAGAATGCAACAATTTAGTATTCAAACTTTCAAAATGTGTCAATTCAGTACCTATTGTTAACCGGTTGTTAAATGGCATTTGAAAAAGATACAAATGCCCTTTGAGTGTCATCTAATTTTCTTTATCAGTCATCTAAATGTTGACAAAAAATTAACAGTCTTAAATCCTTACCTCTTTTATTTAAGAAAATTGGGGTCCAAAATGCCCATTGAGACGTGATCCCAACTTTCTTGAATAGAAGAAGTATGGATTTGGGATTTTTAATTTTTTATCAACATTTGAATGGTTGATAAAGAAAATTAGATAACACTTGAAGGGCATATTTTGAAAGTTTGGATACTGAATTGTTGTATTTTAAAATTCGGGAACCAAAATGACACTAGACCCAAAGTACAGGGTACTGATTAACAATTTTCCCCGATTAATATGAAAAATCGGCCGCTAACCTAATTGACTGGCCAATCAATTAACTGATTGATTCGGTTTGGGATAATAAAGAAACCGAAGGAACCGGTTCGGTTTTAAATATATGCCCAAACACCCCTAGATTTTAAAGAGAAAAACATTAATTACGCTGATGCCTCCTTACATGAGCTATATGACTGGGGGTTCATAAATATATATGGGCCCAAGGGGAATACAACCCATTACCCATATGATGAGGGTAGACCCATCTAAGGTTCCTATACGGGGACAATATTACGGAGAGAGTTCCTCAAGTGCCACGAGCCGCAGAATTCAGAACCAAAGAAGTTGAAGGAGAGGTCACGAGTAACTAACTGTCTGTCTAAGGGCGGAGAGAAAGCAAGCAAAGGATGAATCAAAAGTTTGGAGGGAGGCAACCCACTGGGACGCCTTCACTTGCATGGTCGTGCGTCGTCGTCGTTTTCTCGCTTCTCGCAGGTGCCTCCGTGGTCCATAACATCTTCAAGCCTGACCTGGTAATTCCTCTCTCTCTCTCTCTCTCTCTTAGAAAATGAGAAGAGGCCATCGAGATCATTGCCAAACCACTATATATATACCATGTCCCATCTATTGTGGTGGTGTTGGACATCAAAGTTTCCGCGCTTCTGAAGCCCAGAAAGTGTTCGACAAATTGTCCCAAATAGTCCAAATACTGTAATTAGGTGTTAATTTTTCCTTCCAGTCATGACTAGTGACCTTCTCTCTTTTACGTGATGAAATTTACCTACAGACACTGCCTCCGTTGGAAAGCGTATCCACAGAGAAGCAAAACCAGCCAGGGAAAGAATGAATGCTTCTTCTGTTTACAACCCAAGTACCGTGGCTCGGGTTTAAATCAAGAAGAATACTACAGCTGCGATTATCAGGCTTGCTTAATTTGTAAGATCATACATGTTTACAACGAGCATTCCAGACCAAATGTGTGGAGAGACATTTTTCATGTTAGAGCTTTTTAACCGAATTGAGGAAATGTTTCTTGAGATGTTAATAAGTCGGCTTTGTTAGACAAGGACTTCAGAAAACCTATAGCATTGGCCTTTTCCTTTGGGTTCCCCCATTATGGAATCTAGTGTAGTAGTGTTGATTTCTGCTTTGTTCGATCACGTCTGCGGAGACACCCATGTTACATGATGCAGATTCTAAGAACTGCATTACGTTGCTTCAGTTCAGATCAATGCATAATAGGTTGGAGCACATGATCAGTGTCATCCCACCTACAGAATGGGAGTTCTGAAATCTCAACTAAACCAATTGAAATTATATCAATGTTCCTTACCATTTGGAAATAGAATGTGAACGTAGATTGAATTACATTTATTCTAGGATGAATGAACTACTATTAACATTTGAATGGTCATAAAATATTTCAGAGATTATGAACTGCATTTGAATGTCATGGAGTAGGGGTGTATCATGTATATCTGCTATCAGCCTATCAGCCTCGGCCCAGCCTTCCCTATGCATAATATATTTGGGTTTTGGAGCTCGAACCCAATCCAACTAATTTTAGATGGTTCAGGCCGGTTCAAACTCACAATATTTATTTGCAGACCTACAGCTATCTTCATCATTTTCATTTTTCACCATCATCTAAGCCTTATCCCAGCCAGTATCAGGAGCTTCTCTTTCCAGCTATTTCCTAGTGTTCCTTATCTGTATCAAAGTTGAACTCTCCTCTACACGGTTCATTTTCTTGACCTAGACCTATGTTTCCAAATTACAGTTTGCCAGTTCGGCACCCATACCCCACTTTGTAGTGACGGCAATATAAAGGTTTCAAAGGCATCCTCAAATGTAGAGGTGTCAATTAGACTGGATTTTGTCCAATCCAATCCGGTCCAGCATTGGTCCATTTACAAATATATTGGACAAAATTCAATCCAAATTCATACAAATCAGATCCAATTCAAGTTGAAATGCAAATGAACTGGATTGGACCCAATCCGGTCCAAACTAAATGGAGCTTCAAAAATTTTTTGAAACCTAGAAAATATAAAAGAATTTGCATAGATATATTAAAATTTTGACAAAAATATAACTAATGACTTATTTCTTTATTGCCGTCACTGAGTTCCAACCACAATGGTTCAGGAAGGTGGAGGTAGACCTATGAGATAGAATATCTATCCGGGGTTTATGCCGTCACTGTTCCCATTTACACACCAATAGTCTTCTGTTTTGCGCTTTTATTCAATCCTCGAATCCCTCTGACTACCAATCATCTACCCTGAATTCAGAGTTTGTGTCAAGTCCCACCGGAGGCTTAATGACCCATATGAAATTCCTATCGCTTGCCTCCAGAGTGATAGCCAATTCTGTCATTTCTAAAGCAGAGATTGTGTTCTGAGAACAGAAGCATACGTAAAGAACAAAATCCAGAGATTGCGTATTGAGCCACTCGATGCATTGATTCAGGGTGGTCCTGGTAGCTTTGTCCGCACAGGTTTTGTTGGCCAATGAAAAGGTGGTAGGCACTCTGATTGATGTCCTCCGCCGTGTTAAATAAAAGCCCAACAGATCTCAACCACAGACGAACCTGTGCTTGTGTGAATCTAGATCAAGGATCAATCCCTGGGAGCTGGGTGCAACGGATTATGGAGGGAGGTGTGTAGATGGAGAAGTGGCCATACCATAAGCACCGCCAGTGTTGAAGATGGAATGAAATATACCCAGGGCGTCTGCGACCTTGGCCTACCCTCCAAAAAATAAAATATGTCGACGATAATAAAAAGAGGACGGCCATTTTGTTGATGGTGATTTGAGAGAGAGACTAGATTTGAAGAGACGAACGATGAAATGTCCAGAGCTTCGCCTTCAAGCCTTCAATAGACTTTCAGACGGTTTGCGGAGAAATGGAGTTGGTGCATTTCGGTCCATTAATTGTATCGAACAATAAAAACATGGACCAGTCCAATCCGATTTTAAAATTTGGACCGTCCAACCCGCCCAATTTAAATTTGAATCGGATGGGGTCTAACCCGAATTTGGTCCATTGACACCCCTACTCAAATGTTTATTGTTCCTTTATCTTTTGTTAATGTGGCGTTAAATCTGCTGGCTACTTCGTGCAAAGAATGACGAAGGTTTGGTCCTTGTCCAGTAATGGCATTTGTTCTTAATGCATGTTATTATGTCACCAGAGTATATAATATTTCTGTGATTTCCGTTTCATTTGGAAGCATTAATTCACAGGACAGGTTTCCCAATCGGTCAAGTAGAAAAGTTCCCTGGATAAAAGTACCCATTTCAGGCGAAACTGTTCAGGACTGTCCATTAGACAAGGGATCTTCTGGGTTGGCCATGTCTTCACTCTCATAGTCTGTGTCAGCCCCGTGTCCCTCCTTGTTCAGGAGTCTTGGGGGAGGACCAGAAAATTCAATATTTAATTAAAAATTCCTAAACAAGAGAGCATGTATTGAACATGTGGATTTTTTTTTTGCCCAAAAATTGATAATTGATTAAAAACTTTTAGAAAGGACCTGAATTGAACATATGGCAGGGTTTTTTAAGTGAAATTTGTTTGTGTAGAAGATGAGGATGGGAAGAAGGGATTTATATTTAACCTCAAATGAAGGAATCCAGATCTCCTATCCACAAGAATCCTACCCACAGGATATTGCATTTGTACATTGATACGTCTCCCCATGGATGATAACATGTAAATACCGAAGATATTCTCAATATACAGCTGCAGTGTCGTGTGGGTAGGATCCTTGTGGGCAGTTGGTAATTTGATATATAGGAACTCCCTGCTTCATTTAGGGGCACAAAACCATTCGTAATGGCAAATACCCCACTTAAATTTCTTTGTTAAACGACCTGGGTAGCAGACCAATTCTCTAATTCTCAATTGCTAGAAAAGATGGAAATAAAGCAATTCCAGGATTTCAAGAAATGAACTCATTTCCCTTATTTTTCTTTGTCACCTTTTTTATTTTTTCTCTGGTTCTGCAACTTAGAAAGACTTCCATTTTATATGAAGTCATACTTGGTTGAATTCTGTGGAGGCTTAAGTTCAAGAGTCATCCAAACATTCTCTAATTCTATTGTACACGAGAAACTCCATTTTCTATATTGTCTACCATTAATTTAGTAAGCAAAGTATCCTTGGATTAGAGTTGATGAAACAAGTAGACCATATTGACCAAATAAAAAGTTATCCCTAATTATTAGTGGTCAATGCCACAGACAAGTAGACAGCTAGAGTTGGCTACCTAATGCTGCGAAGATTGGACATAAACTTCTAAAAGCAGTGTCAACTTATTATTAATCAATGAACCAGAAAGCTTAACTAATCAATGGGTAGTTAATTAACACAAAAGTCAACATTAAACGATTAATTAATTGCATAATAATGTTGTAGAGCAACACAAGACTTTCAGTTTTCATGGGTCAACACAAGATTCTGAATGTCTGATGAATTTTGTCACCATCTTCTTTTCAATAAATTGTCACCAAAGTTTCACTAATTTTCAAACAAAAAGAAGACACAAGTAGGAATGATTGTTTAAAAAAAACTATCTTTTCTCAACCACTTGTGTTACAATTGTTGTTATTTCTATTGTTAATGCTATATTGATATTACTCACGTACCTTCTCCCTTGGCCTTTCTGATGTTTTTCAAAGGTCTTTCCTTCACAAGCATGCATTTCGCTTCTTTATTCCTGAATTCTGAAGTAGGTGGTCTCTTCTCCATATGGGTACCCTAGTGGTAAGGCACTTGTTTTATTACCAGTTACAGATTAGACAAAAGGGTTCACATGATGTACCAGAAGTCTTGACAGAGTTGGACTGTCATTTCTTTTCATTTCCTTGGAGATGAAAAAAGTAAGCATAAAGAATCAAGGCTCCATTTGTTTTGTTTAATGGGTGAAAAAAAGAAATTTGCAGACTGAATTCTTTGAACTATATTTTTGCCCTTTTATGATGAAAACCTTGTTTTCCTCACATTTACATCAAAACAAATTAAATGGGTAGATATAATGTCATTCGCTGTAAAAGTGGTGGAAATAATAGCTGCAATGTCAGAGAAACAAAGGCAGCTTAAAAAAAAAGTTTCACAGGAGAGAGGTGGAGATTTGGGTCTGAGACAAATAGAATTTGAAATGAGTTCTTTGACCAAAATAGAAAAGAAGAAATGATTTTCTTATTATTTTTTTAACTCATAACGTTAGAAAAAATGAAACAAGAAAGGTAGAGAGGCATTTGGAAACCACCTGGAACAAATGACATCATTGAGGTTTAGAAAAATATAGAAAATGATGAAATTTCAGTATTCCAGTAATGAATTTATTTCCATTTCTTCCATGTGAACCAGAAATCACTTCATGATGACACTGTGGGCTCAAATGCTATGAAAATCTAACATGGGAGGGTTTCCTTTCTTGAAGTTCCAGACCCACCTAAATAAAAGCTATCTAGTGTAATTACATAAACATCAATTTATTCTTATTGTATTCAACTATTCATTTACCCTGTGTTTGGTTTGAAAGAAAGGAAACTGATGTTGCGGGTATTTTTCAATCTCCCTGCTCGAGGATAGTTTGGACATACGGGCTAATGAGGTTGGTCCACCAAACTGCAAGAAGACACAAGTACCTGGGCTATTCGAATCAGATTGGGCACTCCAATGCTTAAATTAGCAATGAAAATGTTGAAAGTAGAGAGCTTGAGAGAGAGAGAGAGGATTGCACAGATTGTGTACCTTATAAAGGAATAGTAAGGTCTTTTTATAGGCGTCGGGGCCTGTGTTTCATGTCTGAGATATCCGAGAACGATGAGCCTTATCAGCCCGCTATCTTCAGGGGCATGCTCATCCCATGTTGGCGGTGATAGTATGGGCACTAGGGTCATACGTACCAGACAGGTGACATGCTGCTGCCCAACTCAGAAACTGATAGGTACGCTACTCCGGATAGGAATGTCCTACCACGTAGTTGGGAGGATTGGTTCCCCGGAAGTTCTACTCATTACTTAAGTCTTTGACTGCCCAGGTCGGGGAGGTCATGCTAGTCTTTGAGGCCATCGACTTGTCCCCCCAAGGTGATATGTGCCGCCTTGTCACAGAGCGACTTGCTAGCCTCTCTTAGGCCAGGTAGGTCAGCCTAGGTCATCCTAGCTCCACTTGACCTACCTCCATGTGACATTAAGGTGTAATCAAATGATTTAGACATGCCATGTGGCGCTTCACGATTGGTGGGCCAAATCACCCCTCATCAGAAACCTTGTATAGGTTTCCCTACCTTTTCTTTCAAACCAAACACAAGCTTAGGATTTGTTTGTATTTGGGGAAATCAATCGAAGGAAGGCTCAATTTGGAAAGAATTCAAATACAAAATAAATATAGTGCAAATACATACAAAATAATACAAATACTCATTTACTAAAACACCCGTTATAGTTTCATAAATTTATTAAAACCTACCCTACAGTTCGTGTTTTACTAAAACACCCCCTATATTTTGCAATCAATTTACATAATCGACCTTCCATTAGATGAAAGTGGAAAATGACAGTTTTAACACTAACATTCATTCGAATAAATTTAATCAAAAAACAAAAATACCATTTTTCTCCCTAGTAAAACAAGGACATCCACGGTATTTTTCTCTATTTGGTCAAATTTGTTTTCTACTCAAAAAAGTGTTAGGGGTACTTTTGGAATAAGCAACCATGGATCCATACCCTTGAACATTTTGCACTCAGTTTATGGGTACTTTTGGAATAAACAACCATGAGTCCATAACCTTAAACATTTTCCACTTTAGGTGATCATGTTACTATTTTCAGATGACAAAACAAATAGTTCTTAATGAAAAGTGAATTAAATAACTAGATTGCAAACTATAAGGGGTGTTTTAGTAAAATACAAACTATAGGATGGGCTTAAGTATATCTGTAAAACTATAGGTGGTGTTTTAGTAAATGGCTCTAACACAAAATACAAGGTTTTGCACTCTAGATATTTGTATTGCTCCTTCCAAACTGAGCTTATAGTTTATATCCATGATTGGACATACTTTTAACATAACATAGGTAATGCTCCTGGGTGGGTTTCTATCCTTTGAGCAGGAGAAACCTAGTATTAGCTATGGGGGCCCATTTGCATCTATGGGTCCTGTTGCCCCAACCCAGGAGGCCAGGATAGATCCCATGCCATGATCATGAATAAGCAAAGTAAGCATTTTACACATTTAGAGAGAGAGAAGGGCAGAGTGGCAGGAAGGGCAGGGAAGTACATTGGTTCCTTTTCATGGGATTCCGATGGGACATTCCATGTTGGATTTTTATCAACAATGGTTGCCCCTGCTTATAGCCCAAGAAATAAGAAAAAGGTAAAACATAGAAAGGTACATGTGAAAAGCCAAGTAAAACCTTCTACCGAAGAAAAAAAAAGCAGTTTGCACCAAGGGAAATTCATTTCTGAAGTGAAAGCCATGAAACCATTTCTGTCTTCATTTGTTTGGCTTCTTCTTAAGATGGAATCCTGCATTGGACAAGGCCAACAGCTACCCTTTTCTAAATCCATATTTCAACTAAAGCCAAAACCTCACTCACATGGTCTGTCCTTTATAATACGAATGATGAAGCTAGTTTTCCACCATGTAATTGATCAAATCCAGTAATCTGTTCTTATTTGAGGCAAGAGGTGTGGTCTCTAAAATTCTAAATTTTGGCCTCATTTGATTAGAAATAAAACAAAAATAATATATTAAAAAAATATGAAAAATAGATATTGCTCCCCAGGTCAGGTGTACTGGAGAAGATGCTCCCTACAACATATGTGCAAGGTCAGTCAGACTTAGTCAAGATCATTCAATCAGTCTTGGATGGGGATACACCCAAAAACAAGATTGATTGAAGACTTAAAAGATTCGCATTAATTTTGTAGGACTGAAAAAAAAAAAAAAAAAAACAAGGGGCATAAGCATATATTTACCTTCAGCTCTTTGATGTCTCTCTCTGAATTGCATTGTTATTGATTGTCCTCTGGCCTATCACCAATCGAGCTACTTGGGGCTATTATCCTTCAAAGGGGATGACCCATTTATTTGATAGCCTGGAGGAAGGATTTGGTAGGCTCACCAAAAACCAATTTCCATTTTCTGCAAATGAGAACACCATATACATTTTTAAGCTACAGGAAAAATTACCATTAGCTACTTTCAGACAAAAATATTAATTCAAATGGATCTGCCTTTGGAATTTGAGAATTACTTGCAATTGCTCCCTTATTTTTCTTCCTTTCTTCCTTTTTTTTTTGTCCTAAGATCAACATACCCTCACTCTTCAAACAATGTGTTATAAGTGAAAACAGCTTGATCATTAATTATGAGGAACTTTGGTACAGTTAGGAGTTGATGTATTTTTAGTGAGGCAGTTGATAAAAAATAATAATAATAAGAGAGAAACACAAAGTTGTTGAAAAGTTCTTAAGGAACTTTACAAAATTTGTTAAGAACTTCCCCTCGACTTTCTGTTTCTCTTATTTTCCGTCAAACCAAACACAGCCTAATGGTTTTATACCCAATTTGTTGAAATTAATTTATCATATATGCTTAAAGTCAAATCCTACTCTTAACCAATATAGATAGAAAAAACAGAAGGGATGAATAAATAAGTGATGATCTAATCGATTTTATCCATTGTAAAACATCGCCTGCACCAAGTAGAGTTCTAGAGACAGGCCCACTTATTATTTTCAAATGGGCAAAAGTGGGTTTTCTCTACTTTTTGTTTTCAGCAAATACCAAACACTTTATCTTTATCTGCATAACTTCTATAACTCCTGAGATTCCAAAATCTGCAGAAAATTCCTGTGGCTACCGGTAGAGAATAAAATATGCATACTTTTATTGAAGACTGAAAAGAGAAAATAATATCACCAAAATCCATGGTTAAAGTTTCAACACTTTCCTTTGCATTTTTTTACTCTCTTTGCAAACTGACGAGTCAGGCCTACTTCAACATAACTATATAAACTCCAAAGTTCCATCATCCCTGCAGTATAAACCTGCGTTATCTCTTATGCTGTTTTTCTTGTTTGAATTCCTATTCCCTCCTTTTTGATTCTTTCATGGTCATGTCAAATTCGAGTGGCTGTTGTTCTTGCTCTCCATTTAGCACGTGGAAAAAGGTACCCTGAGTACAGATATTGCTAGTGTTTTTGATCCGAGTGTCTGTTATTTTGCATACAAATTGATTATTAACGTTGAATCTGTAATGGGTATGATTCAAATATGTCCGTTGGTGCTGTTCTTATCAGTACTTGGCGTTCTTACTTTTACTCATGGAGATACATCAATGGATTCATCCTGTCTTCAGAGAATTAAATCACAGTTGGTTGATCCTGAAGGAGTTCTCAGGAATTGGTCTTCGGGTATTGATATCTGCAGCTGGAATGGACTGACATGTTCAGAGGACTTGACTCATGTTGTGGGTCTGAATTTATCTGGATCAGGACTATCTGGTATTATCTCACCTGAATTCTCATGCCTCGTTTCTCTTCAAATACTTGATTTGTCCTCCAATTATCTCACTGGTCCAATTCCTCCGGAACTTGGAAAGCTTCAAAATTTGAAGGAATTGTATCTGTATTCAAACTTTCTCTCTGGTAAGATTTCTGCAGAACTCGGCCTTCTGAAGAAATTGCAAGTTCTTAGAGTAGGAAACAACATGTTAACAGGTGAAATTACACCACATCTTGGTAATTTGACTGATTTGAGGGTGTTGGGTCTTGCCTTTTCCCTATTAAACGGAAGCATTCCTGTAGAAATTGGTAATTTGAAGAGTTTGAAAATTCTGAATTTGCAGCAGAACAGTTTCAGCGGCCTTATACCAGGAGAGATCAGTAGCTGCCTAGAGCTTCAAGTCTTCTCAGCGGCTGGCAACATGCTCGAAGGAGAAATTCCAGCTTCGATTGGAAAGCTCGAGTCACTGGAAATTCTACATTTGGCAAACAACACCCTCTCTGGATCCATTCCCATTGAGTTAGGTAGCCTTTCTAACCTGAAGTACTTAAATTTGCTTGGGAATGGATTGAATGGTAAAATTCCTGTAGAACTAAATCAGTTAAGTATGCTGGAGACCCTAGACTTATCAAACAACAAGCTCTCTGGAAAAATCAACATCCTGAATAGTCGGCTAAGGAATCTGGAGTCACTAGTTTTATCAGATAATTTCTTGACTGGAGGGATCCCTAGTGACCTTTGTGTCAGCAATTCGAATCTGCAAAAAGTTTTTCTCAGTCTAAATAATCTCTCTGGTACGTTCCCATCGGAGCTGCTCAATTGTTCTTCACTTCAACAACTGGATCTTTCAAACAATGGCTTCTATGGACAGCTACCATCTGGTCTAGACAATCTACGGAATCTCACTGATCTTGTACTCAATAATAACAGCTTTTCTGGAAAACTACCCTCCGAGATAGGAAATATGAGTAGTCTGAAAGGTCTCTATCTGTTCCACAACAGTCTCACAGGTAGAATTCCGGTTGAAATTGGAAAATTACAGAGACTGACTGTTCTGTATCTTTATGAAAACCAGCTGTCAGGAAGTATACCAAGGGAGCTAACAAACTGCTCAAGTTTAATGGAGATTGATCTTTTCGGAAACCATTTCACAGGTTCGATACCAGCAACCATTGGAAAGCTTAAGCATCTGGTTTTCCTTCAACTGAGGCAGAACGATTTGTCAGGTCCAATCCCTCCATGTTTGGGATATTGCAAGAAGCTTCAGAAATTGGCCTTGGCTGATAACAGGCTCTCAGGATCACTGCCACCAACTTTCAGATTCCTTACAGAGCTGAGCGTCGTTACTCTCTATAACAACTCCTTTGAAGGTCCCCTCCCTGAATCTCTCTTCCTCCTGAAAAATCTCAGTATTATTAATTTTTCTCACAACAGGTTCAGTGGGAGCATCTTTCCTCTCTCTGGATCATCCACTCTGATCGTTCTGGATTTAACTAACAACAGCTTCTCCGGCGGTATCCCTACTAGACTCGCTGAGTCGAAAAACCTGACTCGTCTCCGTCTCGGCCACAACCATCTGACTGGCACCATCCCTTCTGAATTCGGCCAGCTTATAGAGCTCAACTTTCTGGATTTATCTTTCAACAACCTCACAGGCGAAGTGATACAAGAGTTATCAAACTGCAACCAATTGGAGCATCTCCTCCTCAATGACAATCGACTGACAGGCACAGTCCCTTCGTGGTTAGGTAGATTTCAGGGTCTGGGAGAGCTAGACTTGTCATCTAATGACTTCCATGGAACTGTACCTGCAGAGCTTGGAAGCTGTTCGAAACTACTGAAACTCTCTCTCCATAGCAACAATCTCTCAGGTTGGATCCCACCAGAGATTGGAAATCTCACCTGTCTAAATGTTCTCGACTTGCAAAGGAATAATCTTACTGGCCCCATTCCTTCCACAGTTCAGCAGTGTAAGAAGCTCTATGAATTGAGACTATCCGAGAATTTCTTGACGGGTATGATACCATCAGAGCTTGGGAAGCTGACTGAGCTACAAGTGATACTAGACCTCAGTAGAAATCAGTTATCTGGGGAGATCCCATCATCTCTTGGAAAGCTCATGAAGTTAGAGAGACTCAATCTCTCTTTCAATCAACTCCAAGGAGAAGTACCTCCGTCACTAGGAAGACTGACCAGCCTCCAAATGCTAAACCTGTCAAATAATCTTCTCCAAGGTCAGGTTCCTTCAACTTTCTCAGGATTCCCTCTCAGCTCCTTCGTAGGAAATAAAGACCTCTGCGGTGCTCCACTAGTTTCCTGTTCAGAATCAGTGGGTTCGGAAAGAAAATGGTTATCAGATAATGAAGTTGCAGCAATTATAGTTGCCATTGTATTCACTTCAACAGTAATATGCTTGGTGCTGATTTATATGATGCTAAGGATCTGGTTTGACTGGAGGAAAGTCTCGGTTTCAAGCTCAGATAGTGGTGGGCTTGAAAGTAACAGAGAAGAGATGCAGTGGTTCTATGGGGAGGATAATGAGAAGAAGAACGGAGATTACTGGAGAGTGAATTCCTTAACCTCAGTTCAACCCCAAGAGAAGTAAAGCTCCGCCGCACCAGGCGTTTTCCACCTTAAATTAGACATGGGTGTCATGGATGATACAGTGAAGTAGGACATTTAATTTCTTCTTGATTCATAATTTCTTTGTTTCTTCTGGTCTTCTTCTTATTTGTTTTGAGTTCCCAAGATGATTGTAGCTCATATAATCTGAAAACTGTCAAAAAGAAAAAAAGAAAATATCGATTTGGAATGGAAAAGGAAAACCAGTTTGTATCTGTATACGCGTGCAATTGCAGTGGAAGACCTGTCCATTAGTCTATGTGCTTTTCACTTTACAATGTGGTTGGCTCACATATGACTATGGGCCCGTGGTCCATCATTAGAGGTAACAGGGATATGGGTTTAGGCCCACATTCTCTATTCGGCATTTAGATGGCAATCTGCTATTGAACTGGTGACTAAGAATGCATTATTAGTTGAATCAGGACTTTCTAAGTAACAATAGTAAAAAAAGTATTATTTACCATTAATGGCATTTAGATATATAGTTTTGCCTTTTTAGCCGTTACATATGACTAGCATCTTTAACCTCACATTTCTGAGTTTTTCTCAATAAAAATCCATTTATGTCAAGGCAAATGCTATGTAAATTCATTGCAATTCTAAAGTTTACCTCATATAGCCACAGACTCCATGTAAGCTTACCAACCCTTGAGATTGGATTTTGGTCCTCACAATATTTTCAGCTATGCATTGGGAATATTTATATATTTTTCGTTTATGAGAAGATGTATTTAATGCATGGATGTGAAGTGTTTGTGAGGAAATCTGGATTCTCAACCCCTCCATGATGTCACCCCGACTGCTTGTTATATGAGCTCAAACCAAGGTTAGTGTGTATCGGCCTGTATATCAGTGCTTTTTTTTTGTATGTTTTATTTATTTTTTTTTTAAAATCGGTTCAGAAGGATCGGTTTAAATTCCAGCTATCCTCTGCATCATGGCTTGACCCGATACAACCCTTGTAGGGGCATTTATCGGAAAGGCTCTAATATGATACATATTAATCCATACGTAGCACGATATTTTAAGCCTTGGATCAAAATTTCCTGCCCACTACTCTCTATCCACACTCTACTCGCCTTGAATTACAGTGACACATTGTCATGTTGTATTATGAGATGTGCGTCTGCAATGTATCATGGATAGGATACAGGTAGAGAAAGTGAGTAGAAAATCTGTTCGCATGTAAGGATACAATGTATCCTATCATGGATAGGATACAATGTATCATGAATTACAGTCACAATTGCTTTAATATTACGTTAATAGTGTTGGTATTCATTTTGTTCACCTCCGTGTAAGTTTTCGATGGAATGGATGGATAACACATACGTGGTGCTAAATTGGATGGTCTGATAGTGAATTCCAATTGCTTTAATGCATGGAATGTTATTTTAGGCTATGCTTGATTTGAAGGAAAAAGTAGGAAAAAGAAAGGAAAGATAAGAAAATTTTTACAAACTTTGTATAATTTTTTCTATCTTTTTTTTCCTTTTCCTTCAAACCAAACATAACCTTAAAATATTGACTCTCTCAATCAGAAAAATGTTTCTTTGCAAAAAATAGAAAATATTTTTAAATTTTAATATAGCTTGATATGAAATAATAGGATTTCCGTGCATTAATTTCAAAAAATTTGGAGTCAGATGATCGTAAATATATGGGAATGTTAGTTACTTCGTGTCACAACTAAAATAAGTGAGTCTAACGCTAAAGTTGGGGCTTTCAATTGAATGCCCTACTCGGCTACTCTCCCTTCTATCATTGCATTCCATCACTGTATGCAACTCTTGGCTGCAATGATAAATCAGGGTTATTAGGGTTATGTTTGATATCGTTATCGTTTTTACTTGAAATGTTTCGGATTAAAAATGGTTTTTATCTGAAATATTTTATTGCAATGCAAATTTGATGTTAAGGCTGTATTTGGTTGCAATGCAATTTTATTTACACTAGTACAAATGTTTAAGAGTGCAAATGAAAAAATGTAAATTCTTCATTAATTTTGTTTTGGGTTTTGCTTTATTCTGCTTCCTATCTTAATTTACTTCATTTATACTACAGTGAAACAAAACAAGTCAAAATTTGAAATAAAAATAGATTAGAATTTACACTTAAAATCATTTGTACTGCCATAGTTTTGCATTAATGCAAATTTATACAGTTAAAAATATATACAAAATGCAAGGTTTTGCACTCAATATATTTATTTTTGTAACCATTCCAAATGGAGCCTAAGGCTCAGTTTGGAAGGAGTACAAATACAAACGTGGAGTGTAAAACCTTATATTTTATAGTATTTTGTATATATATATATATATATATATTTGTATTTGTACTCCTAACTTCCAAACTGAGCCTAAATATCAAATTTGACGTTTAAATTATAAATAATACATTATCTCATCAAATATTGATCAACCTAAAACGTTTCAGATAAAAAAACTATGGTTTTAAAAAATGACCAGGAAACGAAACTATTTTAGCCATCGGTTTTTGGGTCTACGGTTTAACCATCTGGTTCAAATGGATGACCCGTTTTGACAACAAAATTGAAAAATAAAAAATAATTAAAAATAAAAAACGGAAAAAAATCACTGAATGGGTCAACGGATCGACGATTTAATCGCCCGGATCAATGGGTCATTGACCAATAAAATAATTTTTAACCAGGGACCAGGTTTGGGATAAAATAAAACTAATTGCCTAGACAATTTCTGAACCGAATGGTCCGACCATCCAAATCAATACGGCGGTTCAAAAACCATGACCCAAGTCGGACTGAAACGCTAGAATCGATCTGGCTGACCCAGAATCACAACATCGCCATATTTCCTCATACTGCATTTGGGGTTAGATGGCCCTAATGTTTTCAGTCGGTGCTTTATATTCATCAAAACCAACACAACAGGAGAACAGTACAACCACAACAAACATCTCTAAAAAGAATAAATAAATTAGCACCATAACAACAAACACCTTTGAATGTTTTTTTTAGAACATATACAGAATAAGACAACCTACTAGATCATCATGATATAACGCAAAAATATTCTTCAGCATAGGAAGAGAAGCCTCTAGATGCCAACTCGTGGTCCACCATAACACCAGACCTCATGATCAGCACCGAAGAGCAATTCAGCTCAAAATCACTGCAACAAACTGCAAATCTTTCATCAATTCATCCATTTAGTTGAATTGCTTTGAAGGCCCAACACCAACTGGAGACAGCTTCATTCCATCACAGCTTTACCAACACCCAATTTCTATAAGAGAGACAAACCTTCTTCTATAGCTGCAAAAGGTTCAACCTGGATAGCAGAACTATAGCTACACTACTACCCAATTTAATTAGTAACCACAAAATTACCATATGAGTCATCCAGTCCAGTCTTTAGGTGGCTCCCAATGGCACCGCATTTGGGAAGGATGGGGCTCTTGCTCTCTATTTTCCACTTATAATCCACTCTAATTGTGATCTAAAATCACCTATAATCGAATATTAGATCATTTAGTCAAGTGACTTTAATATCATCTTAAAGAATTATTAAACCTAAAAGTTTAAGTTGTTAAGTAAGATTTTCGAATAGGTTTTATTCTCTATCATGCACCATTTCTTTGTTACGCTTATCCAAATCCCAAAAGGGATGTTCCTGCTTCCTACAGCGTTTGCAACTGGATCTGGCCCCGTAAGCCAATCCACTACAACACCTAAAATATACTATGAATAAGCGAAACACCTTTTCTTCTGACTGTAGAGTTTTATGAGTAGAGATGAGAAAGAGTTAGTGGGTAGGAAATCCAAATTCATCAATAACAAGCTTGACCCAGATATAATTATTTGGGGTTTAAGCAAGGGCTTAGTATAGATTGAAAAAATATGCATTAAAGTAGTAATAAGAAATAACATTAAATATACAGCCAACCCCATATGATTGGGATAAGACTTTGGATGACAGGGGACTGATTATCCTGTGAAGTGGGATCTGTCAATGGGTCCTCACTTTGAAATGGTTGGGAAATGTAAGCCAAACAGGGCCTGCAAGCGGTAGCAATTGACTATTAATAACAAAAGCTAATAATCAAGGGTGTTATGGTTAATAAGGTAGGGTTGGAGGGCTTGTTTGGGAACCAGACCACCCATGAGGCCATGACATGAGCCATAATTGCATCTGGCAACTTTTGTTCTTTTACAGAGCCGCCAATGCCTGTGTGGTGTTGATGGTATTCCTGTGAAAGGGGTTGCGTGTGGTGTAGCTAATATTTTAGGTGGCGCTTTCTGAATTTTCTTCGTTCTAGAAAAAGAACTATCAACTATCCAAGGATTCCTGAATAAGATTTGGTTTTTCACGCCTCAACGATGTTGACAAAAGTCATTATTTTTTCTCAAAAAGCAGTTCTTTCGGGCCCGCAAAGCTTGTAGATTGTGGCTAATTAATATGATACGCAATTTGTATATGTGTGGCTAGTCTCCACTAGTAATCAGTCCATTCTAAGAAGTAGTACTGGAACAAAGTCTCATTTGGCATTTTTTTGGGAACAAACTAGAAGTCTTTGAAAAACATCTAATGTCTACTGCTAATGTTGGTTACGAAAATGTTTTAGAAATTGCTGCCTCAGCTGATCATGGCATTTCATGATAAAGAGGGTGTTTGATTCCGTTTAAACGGAAAAAGTAATTAATAAAAGCGTTTATAATATATAGGCACCGTTAGGCATCATATCAGTAAAGACGTCAAGTTCAAAATGAAGCTTAGAGGTGCACAGAAATCAATATTTGCAAGTCTTTACTCAATAAATGTAAATGAAACCAAACACATAAAAATTTTCTAATAAAGTTTCCTAAGGGTGGAGCGGGTTGAGGGTGAGACAACTTAGATTCGGGTTTAACCCAACCTATTCCAAAATCGGACCTGTTGTATTGTCAATTTATCATCCCTTCCTGATAATTCTTGGTTCTGATGGTGGATAGTGCTCTGGACTGCAACTTCGTTTGGGTCTTGTGGCCCCTGGATCCAAGAGAGTACCTGCAAGGCTGCAAGTTCATTTGGTCCAAATGGGCTTGAAATTAGTGTAGGAGATGATTAGACTTGCCCACAACCATTGGGACATAGATTAGTGGGCTTGAGAGTGCTTGTCTCTTAAATACTTCCAAGCCCACTTAAAGCACATTTGCATGATAGATGTCGGCAATATGATTACGTGCTTGTTCAATG